AGATGATCTACCGTACATTTTTTTAATTCTGCAGCGGCGGAGTCATCGTTTCGGAATGTGCGGTCTTTGGAAAACATCGCGGTTGGTCCAGGCCGACAGAGATGTGGTCTGATGTCGTTGGTTCAGTGAGCCATAGGAAGTGGATCTCAGTGTGCTGTGAACCCTGTTGCTGAGGTCCAGGTCCGGGGCCAGGCAAGCACCCTGACATCTGTTGAGCTTCATCGTTGTTATCACATTTGTCCTCGACGGCAAGATCACCGCTACAAGCAATTTCTCGAGTCGTGGGCTATGATGCTGAGTGTTGCGCAAACGATCTCCCCTGCCGAGCCAAGATTCCTTCGCCCGTATTCCACTGCCAAATTTCGAGACATCCTGGGCCGTACGACTTATTCTTGCGTTCAAGGACCATGTTCAATATTGCTGCGATGGTGGTTCAGTGTGCCGTACTTTGCCTCCAACATGGCAGTGGAGTACCTGTATGAACACCCAAGGTATGTCGGAAAGGACAAGTTACCAGAAAATAGGTACAATCCTCTCGATTTGGCCGAGTGGAAGACATCTGCACGGCGATTACGATCTACAAGTCCGCCATTCCGCTCCGGTGACAGGGTTGACCGCGAGACCTCCAGGCTGGGAGCGAGACCGAAACATCATCCAGACCACTTGCGACATGGCCAACAGTTTTCGATCTCTACCGATTGCGATGATCGCCGCCCGACTGCAAATGCAAAAAAGAGCAACCCTGCCGTCTGGTCGCCGGACTTCCGCCAACGGCAGACATGGGATGGACGAGTCCAAGTCGGTTGCGCCTCAATAACTAAAAGGCCATTGCGCCCGACATCGTCCACCATCACCTCGTTCTTGACGACTTTCCCACACTCATCGCCTCCGCCGTCGAGAGTTCTCTTGCCCCTCCAGCTCTCTGCTTCAGACGAACATGTCCCAACCACCGCCCCGGCCATCGCGCAGGCCGGCGAGTCACTTGTCACATGCAGAAACCCTTACCTATCAACAACCCGCTGCCATAGGCTCTTGGAGGTCAGCTGAGGCCTTTCCAGGGTCTCCCAAACATGGTTCGCAATATCTCCGCAGTAGCCCAGCGGCCACAGATGCTCAGTCCGCCATCCCACATCTGCAGCAGTCGCCTCCGTCACCTGGAACGATCGACATCGACAGCTTGCTGGCCAAGTTGCAAGACCCAGCAACAGAGCCGTCTTCAAGGCAAGTTATGGGTGCCCACCTCAGGCCTGGTGCATGGCTAACCGGAAACAGCCCTCTCGAGAACCTCACGCTGTCTGGCGCACAGCCAAGTTCGCTCTCGTAAGCACAGCCGCAAGCGGTGGAACAACGCACTCATGGGAAATAGGCCTCCATCACAGAACGAGCAGAGCTGCTGAAAAAAGCTCTTTGCAGACTCGAGAAGGCCCACCAATCCCAAAAAGCCCAGAATGACTACCTGAACGAGCAGTGAGTGATCGTTCCCTAGTAGGCAACTAGTCCATATTCTGACCATGTTAGACTCGGGCGTATCACGGACGATGTGAGGAAAATCAGCAAAATCATAGACCCATCGAGACCGCCTTTCCCATCCGGCGGGGTCAGTTTTGGGGATGGAAGCCGATGATGGGCGGCAGTCTAGGTCCGAAGCTCTTGGACGGATGGCGGCAGTTTGTCGCGATGTGATTTTGACCGAGCAAGGCCTGCGTCAACGCACCAGAGCTTGTACTAGATACGTTCACATCCCTCATTGACTGAGTAGTCAAAAGGTGGCCATCTTTCTGTGTGCTTACGATAGGCTTAGTGATCTTCGCATCCATCCTTTGGTTGGCGCAAATCCTCAGCCTACATAAGACCCGCGGGAAGAAGAGCGATAGCGCTTAGCTGATGATTCATGTCGGCACGAAGGTTGCGTTCATGATCAGATTGCGGCCAGAGTGGTGTTGATTTCTGCTAGAGAAAATGTCAAAACTTGGCGATGTTGCTGAGTCTTACTGTATTACGACGTCGTCAGATATATTCAAAGAGACCCATTTTCGAGGATGGCTAGGAAGCCCCCGTATCGTGTAATACCGACCGTGCCGGACCCATACCATAAGCTCGAACGAGCATCCCTTAGAAGGCCATCATGTGGCTGCTCTTGAATTGCTTGAAAAGCTTCGATTCGGACATATGCCGTTTGCCAATGAAGCGTTGGACAACACTATGGTATGAAAGTTAACACGAAAACCCGGCACCTCCACAAGGCGCTGCACTTCAGCCGGTTCCGGCGTCTTGATCTCTTCAACTATTCCGACTCGAGGCATTTTTCTCTATGGCGGTGTGGTCCCTTATCTTACAACGGCCATCGGTTAGTCGGGTCATGTTGCCAGCGAACCCTTCGGGCCTGACGAGCCTCGCAATGCCCTCAATGCTTTCTTACGGCCGCCCTGAGATTTCCAATACCCTTCCAGAATGTCGTTATCAGCGTCCCGTATAGTCGCTTCGGGCTCACACGAAGATTTGGGAGATTCAACCCAGATGACTTCTAAGTAGATCCTGCTACCGAGCCCTCTTGTGTGAGATAGGATCTCGAATACGTGCCTTAACTCTCGATCTACCATGGCCCCCTCCCGTCCGCCCTCCAGAGAGTCCCAGTAGGCAAACAAACTCATCTTATGATGTTTCTGGACCTCGATCTCCGGCTCCCAGCTTTCTGCTCCTCCCTGTGAAGCGCGGGGCTTCTTGGTAAGCAATCCGCGCTTGACTTCTTGTGTATACTTAACAAGCTTCTGCGCTGATGGACTGGAATCACATCATCAAATTGCACGCAATCGACAAAGTGGCATGAACAGTCTCGGGACGCGCATCCAACGAGCCCCCATCGCCTGTCACCATTACGCTGGTTGCTTCGCCGGAAGGGGTCATTGTGTCATAATTAAAAAGAAGGAGGAGACAAGACGTTGACAAGATGATGCGGACCAATGACTCCTGCTACGCAAATTGATTACAGTACTGTTACCATTGCAAGCTCGTCCGGGCGCGTCGAGATTGCGACATCGACAAACGAGGACAAGATGGAAAGAATCGCTGTGGACATGGTGCCTTGACGGTCGACCTCGAGACTTGCAGCCCGCGAGTCATGCATGCCCTGGAGTGACGGCGCTGACTTTCTGAGTAGGCCTAGCGCCCCCGTAACAGAGTGTTCAACCCGAATGAGCAGGCGTTCATTTGGCGGCTAACCTTGCAGAGCTAACTAGCCGCAGGCCTCCCGGAACTCGCAGGTAGTAATGGTAGGGTCCTGGACGGATACCGTAATTTCATTTGGCAACAGAAGAAGTAAGAATTGCATTCCCTGCTAGTCCGACTCGAGTTCTGAACTCGGATGCAAGGGAAATGAAATCACCGCGATTTAAAAATTACGGAGTTCCCTCTTCAGCTCGTCTTGCGAGTTCTCCGTCAAGCTATGATAAAGACAAGAGCTCTTGGACTTGGAGGTAATGTTCACTCCAGCAGCACTGCATCACCACGGTCTGTCCTAGATGCCACTGGCCCCTTTCTGTTGCCATGAGCACGTGCAACAATTTTTTATCTCCCGAAAAGAGGGGATGTTTGGTCTAAAGGCGACACAGTCAGTATTGAGTGGTCGACTGCCTCGACGAGCTACGACACTGCCATAATCGGACTCGTTCTTAACAACGCCGACGATGGATTCTCCCAAGTCATAGTCGGTTGGTGCTCCCCATATCCGATAGGCTACTGCATGCTGCGAATTGCTGACACTTCTCCTGACTTCAGACGAGCTTGAACTGGTTTACAACACCACCGCTTGGATGCCGAACCTAGTTCCCTGCACACCCATTCTTGGAGAGGGGCTGACCAGATACACACCTGGGTCGGATATGTACTACAACTGGACTCTCCCGGAAGATCTCGACGTTACGGACTCCAGTCATGTCATCTCTTACTTCAACCGCTCAATCGACGCGGCCAACCAGAACTTATTTAGTAGTTCCGTTTTCTCCATCCGAGGATACCAATCTAGTCTCACAACGACAAGCGCTCAGTCCGCAGCCACGTCTACGCCAATGCCGACCACGACGTCTGCTACACCAGTCACTACTTCTTCCAAGAGTCCGTCCTTTTCGACTGCCGCTAAGATAGGAGTTAGTATCGGCGTTTGCTTAACCCTCTTACTCTTATCCGCGGGAGCTTATATTTTCCTGCGACGCAGACGTCGTGGGTGCGGCACATCGGGCACCTGCGTTGAGGGGAAGAGAGGGTTCGAAAAACCAGAGCTGGATTCTGCAGATACTCAACATCGCGTCGAACTACATGCAGAAGCCCGCGGCCATTGTTCACCCGAAATCGCACGTGGCACCGAATGGCGTTTGGAAAAAGAGCCTGCAGAGCTTCCAACTTGATGCGTTACCGGAACATCGCTGGAACTTATTGCGATGGAGATTTGATATTCCTTGACAGGCGAGCATGGTTTAGCGGTGATGACATTGTTCAGCATAACATGACGCTAGATTCCGTGAACACACACCATTTGTCCCCAGGCACGAGTCGGTATCGTCTCGCGAAGTCTTCTATTTCTTCCTACACCTTCGTCACCGTTCTGTCGGTGACAGGATGTCTAGGTTTCGGGGGCAATCTTCTCCTTGCGGCGCTGTACTAGATGCGGGTGATGACCCGCGGCAAGCCGTCATCTCGGTCGAACTTGATGCTAACGACCAGGCGAGTGATGTCTCTCAAATAGTTTGATACTTGTGAGCGACCAGGCCTCACAACGACGGGATGTCCTTGGTAAGTCTACTTCCAGCGTCACGAAGGAAATATAGTGGGAAATACAGCTGTCAAGTCAACACTGCGTTGTCTGTCGTGCTTGCCGATGACGCCTGGTGCATCCCGGGACGCGACTGGAGAGGTTTGCCGCCACGATTCCCGTGCACGAACGTGCCAGAATGTCCTATTTTGCAGTAGATCGCGGATCGCGGTTTCGTTCACCGAAGCGTCGCGTTGCAGGCTTGTTCATGGAGACGGATCGCTGCGAGTAGCCTTCATTGCATGCCGGCCACGCTTTTACTGTATGGTCCACGTCTGCCACTGAGAGGTGATTTCGCTCGGTCCTCATACTGGAAGCACCATCTGCTAGACGGGGAAAGCAGGTGGAGTTCGTCCTGCATATATTTTTACCTAAAAAGCGCACGCTGCTTAGACGACGTGCTCTCCAACGATCCGGCCACCTTACAGGGGCTTGTACCCAAGCCGGTGCCATCGATTCTGTCGTAGTGATCATCGAACACTAGAAATGGCTAGAAAGGAACCGACAAGGCTAGGCCATGATGGGAAGTTATTGTTGAAAGCCGGGGCCTGGCGAGTGACATGCAGTGCTTCTCGTTGGTGCCTCCAGAGCCGTCAAACTACATGGATTCACAATGGCGTATTGCGATTTCCAGGCGGAACTGCCAGGGCAACGTACCCAGAAAGTCAGCGTTAGTTCTGCGCACGCTGGCGCCCAGAAATCGTTGTCATTTGTGAACCTTTTTGCGAACAAGGATTGCAATCAAGCATAGCGCCCCTCTCAACGAAAACCAGAAGTTTCCCTACGAAGTGACAATTGGCTCGTGGCGTGGCCCACTTTAGCGAATACAACGATGTAGCTGCCCTGGCATTTGCGTCGTCACAGCCCAAGCAGTTGGACCAGCAAGCACCGCTGAGCGATGTTTCTTTCGGTGTGTACATCGGACCGCAAAAGGTCGTTTTAAGGGTCTGTACATCAGAAGATCTAATTTCTGTTTCGGGCGCAGAAGCATCCATAGATCCACATACGCATGCCCAGGACTGGAGTCCTGTGGATTGTAAGCATGTATCTGCTCACTCATCCTCGCCTCAAGCATCTTTACTTCGAACCCTGTCAGTGGAGGGACTAATGACTGGAACAAAATGTGATTCATTAGCAAAGTTGAATCGTCTCCATCCATCGGGATATGTACGCATGTATCTGTTTTATGTATAAGAAAAGCCACAAGCTCCTTAAACAGCAGCGTCGGCGCATGCTTCACCGCCTCACCTTCAAGACCCATCTCGGCGCCCATCGTATCACGTCCAACTTCGGTCACAGTATCCACACCAGTCTCCGACTAGCAGCCCAACGAAAGATGAGATCAACGACAGTCGACCACAACAGCGGATACACAGCACGTACGGATGAATGGCAAGTGAAGAGAATTCAGGGACACAGCGATTTCGATGGCGCAATTTACTACCACGTGGCTTGGAAACCAACCTGGGAACCAGAAGACCGACCCCAGCACATGTTACCAGTTTTAGTCGATTGGAACGAACTCCATGGCTATTCCAATTCCAGAAGATTACCGTTACGTCGATACGACCCCACTTTGGAGCACTGGTCGGGGGAGGTCACCGGGCGAAAGGAGGTCGACAGCATGACTTTCTACAAAATCAAGTGGCAAGTGACTACGGAGCCGGCGGCCAATCTAGAGAATGCCCACAGCCTTGTGAAGAAGTACTGGGATGATCTGGATAGTCTACAGCTTGGGAACAGAGGGGGCATGAAGATGACGGCGAGGAGATGTGATTGCGGGAATGGGTTGCTGTCGCGAGATCACGTAAATCAACATAAGAATATCTGCTGTGATCATTAGAGATCGTTGGAATATGTTACGTGAGATTCGTCTTCGTGACGAGACTTAGATCACTCAGCGAAATTGGTAGCGTTTCTTAATGGACCTCACTATGTGATATGAAAGATGGAATAATAGCTTCACGCAGATCGCTACATCCAAGGTGCAACAAGGTTACAGCAACAATCTATTGCAGGCAGACTTTCCAATCCATTTGCCTTCATCAACTTTGCCGGACTCGCTTCAAAACAGCATCGTACTCTTCCAGGTGCCTCTTCTTCGGGTTTAGGCTCTCGCTCTGCGTCACCTCCTCTGCTCCAAACCGCGGTTCAGCTGCGTCCCCTACCGCGGTCATTGCCAACGCCATCAATGGAGCTAAAGCGTCGCCCTCTAGGCTCGCACCATCGCCGCCGTGTGCTTGACCGTATGTCTCCTGCAAAGTATTCTCGAACGTGCCGCCTGTGAAGCTTGACCGCAGGTCTATGATAGAACCCGACATCTTGCGTCTAGACTCCTGCAGCGACATTGAAAACGCCGCTGGCGACACAGTATTGCATGAGAGTTCCATAGGAGACATTTCGAACTCCAGACGACTAATGCGCTCGGCTTGCGCGTTGATGGTGTGACGCTCCGTTTCGATGCGTGCTTCGAGATGTTGGGAGTTTTGTGAAGTTGCTGAAGCTGCGCATCTTTGGAGGCGGCATAATCGCGCCAACGCGAGATGCATGCTGTCATTTCGTGGATGATGATCGCGACGAGCCTTGCGGTAAGGTTGTCGGGTCTGCCGTGTACTGGTGGCTGGGGTACTTCCATGTTGATCTTGGTTCTTTTCGGTACTGTTCCTTGATTCATCACCTGGACTGTCTCAACGACGTTATTACAAGGAAAGCAATGTCATCGGAGCAACTAAATAGTTCGGCAAACATCGAATCGACCGTTTTGATATGATCGTTAGTGGGCACAAAGCTGGCGATGAGGGGTGTCCGCCATACGCAGCCACAACAAGCTCTTGCTTAAAGAGGCAGACCCGGCTTCTACTCGACCCTCTCCCAAAACTGACTGCAGTACAGTATTGTAAGTGAATGCAAACTGACGTATCATGGCCTAAGAGAAGGAAAGTAGGGGGAAGCCAGAAGTGCATTTCAGCAGAATGAGTTTCAGGGAAACCTCCACACTGTCTGGTCCTCATGAAAGGAGAATGTCGCCTGGAGCTCATCCTCATTATGGCATAAATTTATGCGACGCACATCCATACGGTACCTCATAAGTTAGGGCTACAGTACCATGAAACAAATGTATCGCTCGCATTCATTCGAGCAAGGTTACGGATATAATAGACACCAGCAAGCGGGCCAGTGGTTTCTGTTTGCGTACGGCTCAGCTTGGTGATCCCCGACGAATCATGTGTATGGTGTTTCTCCAAGCTGAAGAGTCAGCAAGACTCGGTCGGATCTCGCCGTCAAAGGACCGCTTTTACCATTGAAAGAACTGTTTTTTGGTAAGTCCGTTCTCTCAAGCATAATGTGGCAGATTGCTGTTGGTTCAGGTGTTCAGCGTGCGCCCTTGCGGTTCTTAGTACCCGGGGCATGCATTCTTCAAGGTTCCCGCGGCGATCCATCGCTCCCTCGATTCGAAGCACAGAGCGTAATCAAGGAGCCATCGAATAGGTCCTGGAAACGCCACGCGGGTCTCTCTGATGATTGGTCTACCGATCAATGACAGCCTTCGGGTGTCACTTTAACTCGGCTGAGCTGTCTGGCTTTCACGAAAGTCTGCCAAGACTTGAACAGTATAAAAACACAGCCGTCGCTCAGGTTGCTGGCCTTTGATCTGGTTGTGATTTCGGAATCTTCCTTGAACCATCCCAGCGTCTATCAGCCCGTCGCAGACGTACTTCTTCCGACATATTTGTTAACCACCACGCCTACGAAAGTTGCACCCACAATGACGAGTCTCCGCTCGAAGAGTCCAAATACTGTCACCTTGGTCGACAAAATCAAGGCTTTTTTCAAAGAGATCGCTGTTCGGCTGACGTTCATATGTGCATTGAAGTTATGGCCACCCTTATCCAAAAATATTTCTAACGTTTAGCACATTTGTCTCTTTCAAGAAAGTCATAGGTGCCTTGAGATTTAAAAGGGCCGGCACTGGCGAACTTGATGAAGGCCAGGTCCACATTCAGGACGAACCTCCCTGGTGGGAACTGCAAAAACCGCCGCCTGCGGGACTTACCCCTAGAGGCACGGCCAGCAGCTTTGTTTAAGACAGCGGCATGTCTACATCGTCTCCCAGCTATACAGCAGTCTAGTCTTCGTTTGCCGTTCAAAACTCTTGGAAATCACGTGAGAGACGCTACTACTAACAGCAATGAACGGGCGGACGAGGCATCTCGCGTGGTGTAAGATGTGGTCGCGTGCCGATGAATGGGAAAACATCGGTATCCCCTTATTCATTGAGGTTCAATCACCGTTCGGTTTCGCACGCATACTGCCAAATAAACGAGTTGAGATGGATGAGCTTTATCTTTGTACCAAAGTGCACGAATAACTCGTAGTCGACATAGACCAGAATGCGATGTCATTAGTCACAGCTCGTCTCCAGGTCACCGCGTCTCTGAATTCACCGCAGGAAGTCACAGTTTGTTACAGTGTTGACGATAGAGTTTGACACATTATAGGCATTCAGAGTAGATAAATGAAAGTTCCCGTCAGCCAGGCTACGATAATCGAAGCTATTCTGCTCCTACGACACGATGAAGTCCGTCCAGTCACGCAGAAACCGGTCACACAACTGTCTCCATGGCTGGACCCCACCCAGATAGACCAGTGGCTCGACTCTCTTGCGCGGGACGTTCGCGCCGGTCCACCACGCGGTGCTATCACGAAAAAGGGTTGACTCAAAGGCCTTTGCTACGAGACCTTTCCAAAATTCACAAGACTCCTCCGAGGGCTCGATGGAATACACATGATCCTGGCTCATCCGCTTTAGGAGCCTTACCACCCAGTCAACCTGGAGCTCAATGAAAGGCGGCGCGTTGGTCTGCGTCGTCGGCCCTTGCGGCCCATACAGCATAAATGCATTGGGCATACCGGGGATCATCATGCCAAGGTACGTGCTGATGCCGCTTTTCCAAGCATCCTCCAGCCGGACGCCATTCTTGTCATGGATTTTCATGTCCAGCAGGCTACCTGTGACGCCGTCGTAGCCGGTAGCCATGATGACAACGTCCAAGTCGTGGTGTGTAGCGTCATTAGAGCTCCCGGTGAGAATCCCTTGCCGGTCAAAGGACTGGATCGGCGTCTCCTTGAGGTTCACCGCTTTGACATTCGGTTGGTCCAGCGCCTCGTAGTAGTTCTTCTCAAGGTTGACGCGTGTTGATCCGAACCATTCAAACTGCTGCAAAGGCGCGACGATGTTCATCTTCTTGGGGTCCGTCATCCGACTTCGCGTTTTTCGAACCCAGAAATCGTACAAGCATGCGTTGGCCTTCTTGTCAAACACGATATCGCGATAGTTCGACTGCGTGAGGCCGAGGCCACCCCTGTTCCATAACCGCTCGAACAGGTCGTTTCGTTCGGTCTCTGTCGCGCAGCGCAGCCAGTCAGAATTCTGATTGTATGGGAGGGCCGAAGACGAGCCGAACTTGGCCTTTGCGAATATGGCATCGTAATAGTGTTTCATCTCCTCTGACTCTCGGTACGACAGCTGTCTCTGATGCATCGGAACCGCGATACAAGGGTTTCGAACGAAAACCGTCAGCTCGCAGTCGAGTGGTGCAAGCTCCTGCGCATTTGCAGACCGGACGCGCCCTGACCGACGATGCCAATCTTCTTGCCCGTCAGCGAGAGATTGTCGGGCCAAGCGGACGGGTGTATGATAGGCCCATCGAACAGGTCTTGGTTTGGGAAAGGTGGCATGTACGGCTTGTTCATCGAGCCGCATGCGAATATCGCATACTTGGACGTCGCACGTAGCCCCTTGGTCGTCCTGAACTGCCAGCGCCCGGCCTCGGTGTCGTACTTCGCCTCGTCTGCTTGAGCGTCGAAAATGGTGTCCTGACGCAGACCCAGCGTTGCATCGACGTGTCGAAAGTACTTGCGGATTTCCTCGCAACCAGGAAACCGTTCCGTGAAGTGGAAATCAGCCCAGACTCTGGGCAAGCTGAACTGGTAGGCGGGCGTGTCGGAATCAACCCTGGCACCGGGATACCGATTGAAATGCCAGACGCCGCCGAAGTCGTCTCCGCGTTCAAGAATCTTGGCAGAGAATCCTGCCTCCCGAATTTTGAATAAAGCGTAACAACCACTGAAACCTGCGCCAATAACGATGACGTCTGCTTCGAGCGTGTTTACCTTCTGTCCCTCCATTGCAATAGGAAATCTGAAAGGGAAAACTTCGTGTGGCCGATGATCTAATGGTCGCAGATTCTCGAGCGGTAATGAGGCCGGATGAACGTGAAGATGTAGTCCAATACGGTAGCAGGATCACGGCATCGACTGCGTCATTTAAGCTTGTCGGTCTCCTGCTTTCGCGTGATACTCGGCGGAGGAGTAGCCATCATGTAGTATGCTACGAACAAAAGTCGTTTGGATCCCCCGTGCTGAGCATTCATGACAATATCGTCACTGGGGCGTTTCGTCTAGGAACGCTTCACCAGGGCTTGTAGGTAGTTGCGATGGTCGTATGTGCCGCTGAGGTGCAATTCCCATCCTATCGGTTGATTTGGTGTGTCCGTACGTCCAAAACGCACATGTCATTTCTGGAGTATCCTTGCTCATGACGGGGTACATAGTTGGAAGGGTCTAGAACACGCCACATTCAATACTTGCTCTCAAGCCACTTTGACAGGTCAGTTTGTAGCCACGGGCCAGAAAGAGGAGGATCTATTTCCTCGGGTAGTGGGGCAACTGCGCTCAGACCAGCACAGCAAAGTGATGGACCCTGGAGCCAATTTCGACTGGAAAGCGCCGATGGACATCGTTGGGAGCGTTTCTGTAACGTTCTAGAATCTGTCATTCCAAGTGGAGCCTCGGACCGTGTCTGCTTCCATGGACGTCGATGTGGATAAGGAAGTCAACGTATGAAGCGGCGCATTGTCTTAGCCACAAGTGCCGCCGATTGGCCGGCTTGGCCTGTAGCAACACATCACAACGAGGTTCACTATGCACAGTACACTAACCAAATTTTTGCACGATCAATCGCGCAGAATCAGCACTCTTCATGTGCCGTACTCAGCCAGAATTTTACCTGCATCTATTTTCAGAGGAAGCTTCGCAGTAGCCAGCCATGCCTCGAGGCACTTGATATGTACGCCTCGAGACGGAACATCAGTGAAAAGGTTCGCTAGTATTCACAATTTTGTCGTGACTATACAAACACTACTGCACGAGGGGCAAACTCGAAGTACACGGCGGACTCTTTGTCAAAGGCCGAGTTTCGTTGTTCCTGAACATCTCTTCAATTTACTGACAGGACCTTCTTGAGCTGAGACGACGCGTACGACAAGCAAAAGAATCTGAGACTTTCTGCTTCTGCCCCAAGCGAAAAGAGAAACCATCTGGTATGGGCCGTTCACGGTACGCTTCTGATCTAGCTCCTTCCACATACTTGAAGTCTGACTTCGTCCCAGCCAAAAGAGGCAGAAGAAGGGCAATCCTGGCATGTCCGTTCAGCACGAGCCAATCACGCCTGGAGCCACGTTCAGCTGGGTGACGCATGGCAGACTCATTACGGAGCTCGTCAATGGTAAAATGGTGTGCTATTTCTCGGCGGAGGATGGTCGTGTGGTGGGCGTCTATCTTGGTGTTTGGAGTTGCCCGCCTGTTTTCCAGTGGTCGCCCAATTGAACGTCTGCATGCGGTTGATTGGCTCACATCACGAGAAAGAGTTCTTTGTTATCGATCGTTCTAGAGCCGCATTGCAATACTTTCGGTTTTTGGATGCCACGTCAAAGGCAGACAAGAACATGGCTATGAATCTGCTTGGGGATGTGCAACAGTCCGTATAGCCTCTCTTTGAGCTTTATTAAAATACACTCATTATTGCAAGGCGCACATTTCTTGATTACATGTCGCCATCCCCCTTCTAGGTTCCAGGCTTTGGCAAGATGAGCATGCTACATGGCAAAGCTTTTTGCTTGACTACATCCGTGCCATAGTGGCCTCAACCCTCGCAGACTGATGCTGAATGGGAGGAATCATGATTTCGACATCATGGCTGAAGTTTTTTGCGATGCTTTGTCTGCTTTGTCCGCTTTGTGTAAACTGTGACACCCGAAGCCCGGCTCGAATCTGGTTTAATCTCCAAGTCTCTAAGACTAATCACCTGGCTTGACAACAATGTTGTGTTGACGGGATAAAACGTGCTCTCTGGGCGAAACGGTGAAGGACGACTTTGTATAACATCGTTGTTCGCAAGTTTGTTCGCTTCTTCCAGCCTTAGTTGAAACAGAGCAGGTCCGGGAAACCTCCGTGGATATGCTGGTGATGTAGACTTTGAGAATACACTTGCGGGAGAAAGCAAAACGTTTGCATACGCACATGCATCGACAAGTGCTTGCTCTTCCTGCATAATAAGGGGATCTGGCGGAGACGATGGTGTCATTTTCCGAAGTTGCAAGGTTGAGAATACGAAGGTTTTCTAGGCCTCATGGTGCCGGAACTATTTATGCTCAACATTGCCGGTTACATCAGCCATATTTGACAGCAACCTCATCAGGTTCAACTCTCAAGGTATATTAGCACTTGTAGTTAGCCAGTAGTAAGCCTACAGCCAGTTTTGGCGTCATGTCATGATTGCTATAAATAATATGAGGGTTCATGAGCTCCTTTGCAACCTCCTCGTGTATACACTGAACTAAGCCACACACAGAACGTCACCATGGAGATCTGGGCGTTTGCCAATCTGTACACTGCTGCGCCTACAGTCGGTACCGTTCAGCCGCCCTCAAGTACGGTGACTGAGCTTCCTCAAATATGCACTTGTACCATGGAGGCGGATGCGTTAACTTCGACTGCAATCCATACAACTGCACTTCCGGACAGACTGGAATCCACCCATCGATCCTGGAACGCTACTTTCACCCACAATACATCGAGCATCGGCACCGCGCTCAGTCTCGTGACGACGACGTCTGGTGGTGATGTTCAACCATCGTGGACCTACTATAGGCCGACGGTGCACACGACCGCGGCGATCCCCGTCAGCGCAACCGATTCACATGGCGCCGGCTGTGACCACCTTGCAGCCCTTTTTGTCTTCTTTCTTGGTGTATACCTATGGGATCGGCTGCATTAGATCCACTCGGCGCTTTCTAGCAACAACGATTACCAAAAACTCACGCAAGAGGGGGAAGTGGTTAATACTGTGTACGGTGGACGCGTCCTTTGGCTTAGTCCTAATTAAAGGTGCGAGGTCTTCGCTCTTGGTGCCTAAATTATTATGCCTTCCTATATAAAACTCCCTCACCCCTAAGGGACCAGATCTCAAGGGCAAGCCTTGGGGGAATACAGGCTCTCGAAATGCACCGAATCAAATGGACAGATCAACTTGTAGAATGGCGCGCAGCGAAGTCAGACATCAAGTAGTATTCAGAAATTGCCTGCTTATTTGTACGTAAGTGAAAGAATTGATGGATTTCTCTCTATTTTGTCCTAGCAGAACTTGTTACTGACACTCCAAACCCAAGCTTCTCCTCTGTCGCGGCTCAGCCCACCACCGTATGGTCCAAGACCATCGCTTACGATGTTGTGTCGCTCTCGTGCATCCGGAAATGAGCCTGTGCTGTGACGCGCGTTGTTAGAAGGCGTAAATATAAGACTTCCATTCAAACGGACCTCATCGTTTTCTACCTCGACTTTGGGCGGGGAGGTGGCTTCGGAACGCCCGTGGTATCGTACGCTCCGCGGCCTTGATCTGCGTTCGTCTCGGGATTGTGGGCGGTAGCCATTTCTTGTTTATCGTGAGGCTTTGTTTTGCTTTGTAGGTGTTGACGATTGTTCGCCGAGATCTTGTGTCGTCAGTTTCGTGGTCTTTATACGTGTTCGCCTCGACCCTTTACCCCTATTTGGTGCCAACGTTGAAATATTCATTGACCCCTTGCAAATTTGGTAGACCCGTTATGACAAGATTCAACAACGCTGAGATCCGTCAACCCATGCGTGATCCTGGTCAACCTATGGTTAAATTGCCATTGCCCCTGAGGGTCATCGTTCGGCTAGTCTCTTTGAGGGACCAAGTATTTCTAAACGGGCCACCTTAGTCGTGATGAACACGTCTACTAAAACGTAGTCATGTCATGATCGGGTGGATATGGAAGACAGAGAGCCTGAACGCCAGCCCGTGTCGAATGCCTTCGCTGTACACATTGTGCAATAATGAGCCTATGCGACGAGATGCTGCTGAACGGAATCGGTCAAAGCCGAGCGACTTTGTAGCCTGTTTTCTGTCTCTTGTCTCAGTTATCATGAACATGACTATCTTCTCATGTTGTTCTTTGCTATCCCGCAGAAGAACCCAAGACACCCAGTCTGCTGGCTCCGAATTCGTGACAATTTCATTCATGTAATGCACTGATCTCAGCTCTTGCGAGCTCGAGTCTCGGAGGGGACATGCCGAGCATTGACTTCGTCGAGGTTCTCTCTGGCACTACAAAAAGGCAGGGGCGGTGCTTCGCGTCAATGTATTTTACTCGTGTGACATGATGGTTTGATATTGCGATGGCCATTGGGAGTCGAGGGTTGACTCCAAGATGGAACCGCTTGCGATCTAATTCCAAACCATTCGTGTGGACTCACCCAAGTCCAACCTATACACGTCGTGGGTGTTTTGTGATAGCGCTGAAAGATCACTTTCACTGGCGCCGCTGGACTTGGTCTCTGGTTGGAGTATTCTGCATCTTCGTTTTATCGCAAACTCAGCAACTTTTGGTTGTTCTGCGTGATGTGGCTAGCAAATCTTGGCGAACGGTAAGTACTACACTCGCTTCGAGCTGACCCCGCCTCTACTCTCCCGAATCAATTAGTTACTTCCGAGTTGTCTTAGTCGCAGGATTGATCGTGGCAAGAGCTGTTGGCTGATTTATGGTCCCGTAAAGTCAGCCACTTGGCAGGGTGTTTTTCTTCTTCCTCTTGCCGCCTTATTGTCCGCAAGGTTCGTCAGCGACTGGGACGTGCTAGCTTCTAGAATTGTAAGGCCGGACAAACATTTCGTAGGCTAGTTGTTGGGGTGAAGTGTTTATGCCAGGAGCAAATTGGTAATGAGACGCTATGCAGAGCTTCCACATTGTGCCACGTCGCTTCTCGGCAACTATGCAAACACCCATAAACATCCGAAATCAATCAACCATCAAATCTGAACACCCGAAAGTCAATTTTGGCTTCATACGTGGGACGCATCCAGGTACAGCTATTTTAGCATTCCCAGTAAACGCCCTGGACATCATCAAACATGGCAACTTCGAAGTTTGCGCGTTGCCGCTTGTGCCTCTGCCGGGGAAGATCGCCGGAAAGATCATAAATCAACTGTGGTACCGATTTCTTTGTTCACCATGACCAGATTCCTGGGTCGGATGCGGCTGCATAGTGCTGTGGCGGGCTTACCAGCGTTTGGCCTTTTTCGATGTGGTATGATCTGGCCACCGCGCCGCATCACGATATGTCTTTTGAATGTTTTCTCGATTGAAGTCCACATGTGAGCCGGCTAATCAAAGTCGACTAATCCAAAATGACTGGTCGCCCCACAGGGGCCAGCAAGATACATTGCTAGCTGCTCGAATTGTATGAGGAAGAGTAGACGTTGGTCGAAGACCAACAAAGAGCCGCGGTGTACGAATCACAAGATGTCAAATTGGCTCACTTCAGAGCCCAACACAAAGCCTGCAATGGCCTCTATTCCATATCGTCGTACTTGAGGGCAACAGAATCCCATCCCAATAGCTATTCCCGGGCAATATAATACATTAGATCACATTCGGATTGTAGATCACTCAAGTCGCAACACCATGGCCCCCATGTCGTCGGACAAGATCGTCTTCACATACGACAAAAAGGCCAAAGAGAAGGTCCGAAAATGTGGGGCAAGCGGGAAACGAAAGGCCGTGCAGCTGGGCGAGGGAGCCCAGGTGTTCTCGGCCGTCATCCATTTCAATCCGACTTACGGTCAATTAGATGGAGCCGTCCACGTACCGGACGGCCAAAGCATTCCCGACGTGAATCGTTTTGTAGGTCTTGGCAGAGAAGCCTTCTGCTGTTGGAATGAATGGCTTGAACTGACGTGCATCCGAACCAGCTGGCGGAACTCGTCGATGGGATGCACGGTTGTGGACGCCGACGCCGGGTTTCACGCCGTCGACGAAAGAGGTTAACGTCCGAACCTGGTCAAAGTCCGGCGGAGATCGGCGACAGCATCGAAGTGGGGGAGGTCGGAAGCAACCTGCGGGGAACGCCCGATACCGTGGGAGACGAAGACGCAACGGCGAAGGAAGTCACAAGTGGGGAAGCGGATGCCCCATACGAAGTCGAGGCCGATGACGGCGGCGCCGCTGTTTTTTGCGGCACCGTGTCGGGCTTCCAGCAAGACGAGGCTGATGTAGGCGAACCCCCCAGCAACCCAGCAAAACATGAACAACGGACGGATTTAGCACCACTCAACCACGATGTCGAGGGCATTATGGGGGACTTTATCATGAGCGACGCTGACACTGCTGGTTCGATCAACGCGGTTGAAGGAGGTTCCTTCCTCGGGCTACCTGAGATCGACTTGCGCGACCTCTTCGAGATGGAAGCTTGCGCTTCTAAGTTTCTGCCAGTTGATGACAGCGAGCTGGGTAAACAAGGACAGTCGAGCGATGCCATTCCTGATCAGGAAAGGTCGGAAGTGGAGACATCGGGCGAAACGCGGGAGAGCACGGCGGCAGCTGGAAGGGGAGCCTTCAGCCATCAGACGAAAGTTCAACAGACGCGAACAATTGCTGCCGCACGTGCTTACCGACCTGACAGGAGTTCTTTCAAAATTCACCGGTTCTTTTGTCGCGTTTCTCAGCGGATCCGGCAGGCAAGATATGGAGGGGAACTGCACACGGAACATGTCTAATAGACAATGCGAGGTGTCAAAGCTGTTTAGGGAGATCCTGGCGACGGCGTCATGCAGAGATCAAAGTGTGGGGCCGCTATGTACGTAGGGTGGCTTATGCGGTTCTGAGTTCGCCGAGACCCACTTACCTAATGGGAGAAAATCCGTACAACTCTAGACCAGAGTTGTGATGATCGTGTTTATGAACCCAAAGCTAAGCAGATAAGGTTGGGGCAAAGGCACTAAGTAATCTTAGTTGGGAAAATCTCAAGCAAGCAACGTCAATTGTTTCATACTCTTGTTGCCTGCTCCTACATTCAAGGTAGCTCAGATGTTCTCTTGTGCATTTCAATCAGCATGAGCGTCCATCCCGGAAGAGTCCCCGATTCGTCAACCTTCGAGATGACAGGCTCCTTGTTCCCGAGCATACGTCGTGCCAGCGACAGGTCGGTGCTCTCGCAGATAGCCTGGGCCGCACGGCCGCTGCCACCGCCGACGTCGACTAGTAGTACACGGTCGGCGACTGACAGTTTCGATGCATTGGCGATTCACGAAAAATCATATACGCCGATGATGGGCGCCAACGGTCCAACGCTGTCATTGCCCGCATGAATGACTCCTTCTTACTCTGGTCGTTGTAGATGTTCCACATTCATTATTCATCATGCCCTTAGTAAACGTGAGAGGAGTAGCCTGGTGGGCTTCGTACGCTTTCTTCTTAGCATGGCATCTTCCGGTCATATCTCGGATGGCCATGTCAACTTGAGTTTTGAATGCATTGAGGGACCTCTAGTAGGCTAGCCTTGTCCCCAAACTTTGTTGATAATTACCTGTCACGTAACAGGGATCAGAATCGCAACCCACGAAATCCCCTTCATGTGCTATATCACGTGTATATCACTTCCAACTCGTATGTAGACCTTTTTCTTTTGCCTTTTTCCACTTTGATAGATTAAGCCACTTTACCACACTCCGTATTCCCATTGCTGCGTGCCATGACTCGTGGCAATAACCGTCCTATGGTTTGTGTATTGCAGGAACGCGACAGCATCTCACTTATAGTCGCAGTCAAGCATCCTCGATGTTCCAGGATGGTTCTTGCTTGATAGCAGAACTACATTCGGCAGTGTTTACATTTGAGTTTTTATATGAGGAACAAAACTATCAAGCTCTACAGGCTACCGCGTCATTTCTTTTGCAACAGTTGTGCTTTCCTTGTGGTTCTTGATCCGATCCGTGTACGTTTGCAAATTTTCGATAGCAGACTTCCTACCACAGGTTACATCTGGGCCTGAAAGATTTCGCTTTAACAACAAACATTCTCCTACGTTTGAATTCGAATTCCGGACCCATATTGAAGCTACTGACTCCACACTCGTACACATACTGTAGAATTTCCTCTTGCGACATTGGAAACCAGGGCGCGAAAGAAAGTGTTCCAAGCCTCGCAAAGGTTGGCTCGAACTCGTTGTACTGAATGAATGGCTCGAAAGCGGGTTGAAAACGCCCGTCCGATGCAAAGAGCTGGGCAATCGAGGTGTCTAGTTCCCAAAGAGAAGCATGAGTCGCTTTGAACGGAAGCAAAGACCAAACTTTGTTGTCGATGGTTACTTCCTGGTCGTGAAATCCGTTCTGCAAAAGAAAAGCAACAAGCTTGTCGCGACCTAACAGAAGAGCAAGCTTAAAAGCTGACAGCAGCTCTGTACCTCGGAATAAGCAGTCCCGTCGGGATTCAAAGACATCAGTACCGCAATGACCGAGGAAGCAATCGTACGGCAGTCTCCTTTCAAAATCCGCCCCCACCTGCTGAGTTCTTTGAAGTACACATAGTGAAACAGAGTCGTCTTCGCACTCGGAAATCGCCCAGGCAACACAACGAGGAACGGGCGATTGAAAGTCTCGCTGGTAAAGTAGTGGCGTACAGGTGATCCGAAATAGCTTGCTATACAGCGCTAGTGTTCGGAGGGTCTAATCATCGCAGTATGCCATTACCATGGCAAGGATCTCCGGCGGCAAGTAGATGGAGTGGGAGGGTGTCTGAGAGGGCGTAAGTTCACTGAGGATTGCTGACATGGCGTGACTCCGGTCTCTCTCAGCAGCACGATCAAGACCAGGGCTTCCTCTTCATTTTCCCTGCCTGCGCGATCTACATCTCGCTCTAGCCAGGGACCAGTTCTGGTGATCGTGCGTGCTATGTAGGACCCTAGTAGCTACCCTTTGTAACCCGGGCGCTGAATGTAGACCCACCGCTTGTCTACGTTTATTGACTGGAGACTTATGTAACCCTTGAGAGCACAGCTGAGGTTTATCAGCAAAACAACTAAACTTCCATTCCTGATCACCTCTTCTGTGGTTCCATGTTCTTGCTGCCATGGCCACTTTTTGCGTCACACCACGATGTGGTCTGTGCAGATTTAAGCTTTACGACGGAGAGCTTATCATCACCGGTGAGCCTGATTCAACTTCCTGCCATTGCTTCTCTGACTTGCCAACAGTGACGAAGGCTGGCCAGAGTTCCGAGGCGATGGTATATGAGCAATTGATGGTCGATTCACAAACGTCACGGTATCTGAAATGTGTTGGAGACTGCTCACAACAGGCCGGAAGAACAACCGGCTGCCATGTTGAATGTGTCAATCAGACGACTCCTTGGCCTCTCATGGAGGCCATTGAGGTGTTGACATTTAGGTATGAGCCAACGGATCACAAGAATGATAAAAGGAAAGCCTGGCTGCACCAAAAGCTCTCTGCCTTCTTAGACATCGTTCTACCTCGACTGCCCCGTGAGCTAAGGATTAACATCGCTGGCATGTGTCTTCGGAGCTACGCAGTAGCACGCGCCAAAGCCCTCGGCGCTGTGCCCAGTGGAGAGTCCTCACTGCAAGTCTCATCTAGGATCTGGGATCACTTTACGACTTTTGAAGGCAAGTTGTACTTGTCGTCGCTGAGCAAACGCAACGATGATTACCACGGCCAGCTCATGTATGTGCCCAAATCCACGTCGGCCGTCACGACCATTTATCTTAGGGAGGATCATTTTGGTGTCAGGATGATGTCATTTCGCGATTTCACCCCGGACGTCGGCAAGTGCCGAGACATTTGGTGGCGAACATCGGACCTTGGGAGTTCGCCCACGCTTGTGGTTCAGAATAAGGTAGTTTCTTCAGCTTCCTCCTTGGATACCACTAACATCAACCAGGGCCCGAAACTATGCTGTCTCGTTCCAAAAGGTGCAAAGCACCGGACAAATGTGCTATGGGCTATTCCACCATCTAAAGTACCTCGTTTAATTCAACTTGAGAGGTCGCTTGAGGCAATTAGAATGTCTGCGGTAGTGTGCAACGACCCAAGCGTAATTGCATATTCCGTCCACTGGGACGTGCGAATCATGTCGATCCATGCCCATATCCTGAAGGAGGGGCTTTCGATGTATCACAATCGAGACAAGGGTATTTGGCTCTTCTTCCCATTGTACCGCAACGAGAAAATAGCCGAAGTCTACATTCGTGGTACAGAAAGGCTAGATTTAGCATTGATTGTAAGTGATGTCGTCCGTGAAGAAACTTTATGCTGACATATGCTTAGTTCAGAACAAGCCGAGGTCGAGTTCTGATCTTTGGTCCGCATCTGACCATGGAGCTACGACTTGATCTAATCGACACACTGCCACACGACGTAGAAGCCGAATCTTCACGGAAAGATCGCCTGTCGGTATACGTAACATAGCTTTCGAGAGTCCAAATCCAGAGAGGGCGTTGAGCCGATCTATCCCCCTTCCTCAGCCAACGTATGAGATCCCGAGATCAACATTACAAACACCTTAATTCTACTCAACAGCTTCTTTGGATGGCGTGGAGGAAATACTACCTTGTGAGCGCAGAATGGGTGTGCGGACCAGCATTATCGGCCTTCTTCTTCACTATCTCGACGGTCATAAGGCATCCCTAGGTCAGGTTCGTCTTGATTGTTTAGGTGCACCAATCAGACTTGATGGATGCGTCAGCGTCGGGTGTGTAATCTCGGCTGACAGGTATGGTATGTCCGTCCTCTCCCTTGAACTATCACCCTTTGCCCAAGATGAAAATATTCATTTGGTCAGCCTGTGTTGTCGGGATTCAGTAGATTGGTGGTACTCATATCACTACTCCAAGGTTTACCCCAGGGAAGGGTGAGTCAGTTGCTTTGACAGTGGAGGTTGTTCATGCCGCCAAGGGATTCTTTGCGCGTCTCTAGAGCTTGTGCAATTAGGAAGTAAGGATAGTTCTCGAATGGCGGGACTTCAGGATACACATCTTTCTACAGAAATGATCTCCAAATGTGGCAAAGGTTAAGGACCTCCAGCAGTCGTCCGGCCTCGCTCTCGTCACCGACGTCGCCCAGTGCGCCGTCGCTGTTGGACCGTTTGCCGTTGGCAGCGCGACCACGTGTCTGGCAGTAGGGTCCATCACGGCGGTCACGCAAGGCACTAGCATCTTCCAGTGCCTGGAGCTCGCCTTTGGTCTCGGAACGGGCGTCGTCACCATCACCGACCCTGCCTACTGCCCAATCACGATGGTCCTCGGGCCAGGACAGCTTGCACTGGAAACCCTAACGGAGCCCTTGGTCTCAACCTTCAGCGAAGCGCCCATGGCGGTAGTCACTGCCACTCAAGAATGATGGAACCAAGCGCCGAATCCAATTCGATATGTGGTAATAACCCGATAGTGCCGCACAATACGAGTGCTAGGCACAGAAACAGGCCTGCGAACCATGTAGTATGGTTTCATCGGGCTGGTAAATGCAACAATACGAGAACACAGCTACATACGGCCGTTGAGACATGTCAACTACGTTCATAGTCCGAGGAGGCAAGGGCTACAGGGCGGGCTTCGAGAACTGGACAGCAGTCATTGCGTAAGTGAGACATACATTATGGCCAGCTCTATCAAACTATGGACCAGTAGGGTTGACCAGGGGTTCTGGGGAAGCCTGTATAAGAGCTACCGGTATCTCAACCCTTTCCACGGCCGACTCGTGCCCGTTTGCTCACGACAACCGCCATCACTTTCCGACAATGGACGAATCAACGGCATACGGTATTGATTTTCGAACCAGTCAGCCGTGGCTATCGCCGACGATCAGCCTGAGTTTTGGCATCGGTGGTATCACCGCCCTTCTGACTTTGGTTGCCCGTTTGGTCATGAGGCGTTCTGAGGCGGGGGTGAAGCTTGATGACTGTGAGTAGAACAACAGAGACGATGCACACGAGGCACTAGGTTTTCTCCGTGGTCACTCAATCCATATTCATCAGTACGTGTTGATCCACGATAGCGAGAATCGCTTACATGTTGAGAGTGGTGGCACGTTCGCCTCGCCTGGACTTGATATACATGGCAGAGGTAGCACGTCTATTGAGCCATGGTTTTGCGGAAACATCTATCGCTTTGCTCTACCTGCACATATCTCCCCTCAAGCGGCAGACGCACGCAGGAAGGGTCAAAATTGTGGTCATCATCATCTACACTGTCTTCATCTTGGGGCTGCTCATCCGCCGTGCCTCTGGTGACGGCTTTACCGAGCCCATACGTCCGAACGAGGGCACTGCCCACTCTCCTCAACTCCCCATGGCAGCTACTGTAGCGGGCATCATCACGGGCCTGATACTGGTTCTCCTGCCTGTTCTGGATATATCTCGTCTTCACATGAAGCCGATAGTAAAACTCAGAGCGCTCCTTCTCTGGTGTACCCCCATAGTGTATGACCCCCGATGGCGACTTCGGGCAAGCAACTAACACCCTCACAGAGGAATTGTTGTCTCCTCTGTCCGTCGATTTTTCATTGCAAGTCTTTCAAGCAGTTCCGATCTTGCCATGCATGCTGCTGTGGCCATGGTACTCATGTGAGTAACCTTGCGAAGTGTCATAGTCTGGACTAACGCGACGCAGGTTCGCTGAGGTGAACCTAACCGTCATTTGTGGTGATTTTCCAGCGACGTGTCAGGTCATCCAAAAGATCAAGAACAAGGCCTCTTCCGAGACCATGACGGGCTTGAGAAGTAGAGTAGGAGGTGGATCGAGCCATGCACCGGGAGAGTTCGACGAACATCCGCTACCTTCACCGTGGACCGAAGACGATGATGACAGTAGCCAACGAGGGATACTACCGACAAATCTCTTCACAGTCTAGGACGCTTTTGATGTACCTGCTCAGCTCACCATCACGATCGACGAACAGCGAGTGGCCAGGAGGGAAGCGCCGGTGGTGAAACTAGAAGAAAGTCGCTGTATCTAGTCTTGCAGGTCGTGACTGCATAATTGTCAGGTCGCGATGAGTGCGCGGGGTCCACCCCGCGCATACGCAGCCTTAGCCCCGCTAGTGCGCACACAACTCGCGACCGCCGCAGAGAATAAGGAAAGGCAGGTTTTAGCATCAGCACCTACAAGGACCTAGCTAGGAACTCGCAGCTTATTCGCCTATCACTCCGTACAGACATCGAGACCGACAAAGACCTTCTGTTTCTCCCGAGTCTCGTTTCCTGTATAGTCACAATGTGGGCATCGAGATATGTAATTGAGATCGGTCGTCTATTGGAAGTGGGAAATAGGTATGAAGCTCGTATTGACATAGCGGGTGCGAGTAAGTATTTGCTTCCCAAGACTGAGGCTTTTCTTCACCCTTACGATCATCGGTGGATTTATGGAGTGTGGCGATCCATGTAGAGGCAGTTCGCCGTACGTTTGTCCCCCTCGAGCCTTTTTCCCGCAATCTCTTTGACCTGTCCGTTACACTGACTTTCTATGATATGCTAGATGCTATCAGATTTGAACTTTGGAGACAGGGCAGTACCCGCAGCGTGCGTGGTCACAGTTCTGACAGCATTCGGAGCGAATCGGCTTGCCGTTGGCTCCACACTTGCACTTTGTACCAGTAAGCATCATTCAGTAAACTAGATACGTTAGAGCAACTTAACACATGACCATAGATAGACCTGCTTTCTTTTAGGCCCCCATGAATCAACTGTTGCCATACTCCCCGCTATGCTGGTAGGATCATCAACGCCCATGGGTGGTGTGTCTTCGCTCATAGATCGATTGGGACTCGAGGGAGATGACTCATAATAGATTCTGTCGGAGAACGAGTCGCGAAAGAAATCGCGGCGGGCTTCATAGAACGGGTATGCTAAGGCAAGCAGGTATTGTCTCGAGAACGGGAAGAAAGACTGAGTCGAGTTCCATGCCCGTCGTGTAGAGCAAGAGTCAGTCGCAAGACGTTCTACCACCCACTGTAGAGGACCGTTTCTAATCACACCAATGAGATAAAGCTCAGAGACACAGACTTGAGAGTTCTTACACTAGCTGTGATGTTTCAGCAAATAGCGCCGTTCGAGGCCTTGAACTTTTCAAAGACCCCCCCCCCCCCCCCGAAGCATCATGGAGGGCCATGGGACGCGCCTGATCAGTGGTTATACCCGAGTTATTTGGTTGTGAACTAACATTGCAGGAGGAAATGTCGAAAAGGTGTCAGAAAAGCGGAAATGAAAAAGACAGTCTTAGTGAGACAGTGAGTGTTTCTACGTGCACCGTGTATTGATACTGTGTTTGGCTTACCGAATACCACATTTCGTCGAGCAATCAGCGAAAAGGTAGAATAACAAAATAGAAACCTGAGTTATTTTGAAAAGCCTGCACAGAATATATTATGCTGTCCGGGCGATGGTGCTCTTGTATCGCAGAGGATCTTCTTTGTTTGGGGTGCGAGGAAAACACTAACTTCACCCGGGCGGCGACATGACCTAGTCACCTATGCCCTATGACCGTTCCCGGTTACAGCAGCGAGCTTGTGAAAGGACGAATGTGGCAGTACGCATATGTATCGTTCGCACTCTAGGATGAAAGTCTTCCGCAGACGAGGGAGCCAGTACAACCGCCCGTCTTGCCGGCAATACCTTGTAAGCAGGGCTATGGTGTGAAAGTGCCCCCCTTTCAGGTGGTTGAACGGTACTTCTCTGCTTCGTACGCCTCCAATACCCGTCTGCTTCCACCTATGACTCTAGCATCACATGACCAACAAGCCCCGACACGAGAGCTTGCGGCTAGGCGCACTCTCCGCTCATGCTCAGGCCCCAGCCCTCGAAGATGTCATGCCCCTGCCGTGCCTGCAAGTGCGCGCGCTTCTCGCCGCCGTAGTCCTAAGTGAGGCCCGAGGTCCTGACCCGCCATGGCCAGACACTGGTGACAGGGCAGGTGCATGCTGAATGAGCCGACCGTGTTGCTTAGGTGCGCGTCGCCAAAAGCCTACCTCGCCGTCCGTTGTCCTGCCAGGTAACGCGATGAACCGTATGCGGCGGCTGATCAGACGACAGCCTAACAGCCCTTCCCCACTTCTTAGGAAAGACACAAGGTGACAAGTACGAGCCTCGTCACGGCCAGCTCAGCGTAAGCGAGAGTTGCTGATTTCCTGCTCGTCATCGACCTATGTAACATTGTGGAGCAAAGTCTCCCTGGGCGGGCTGACGCCAATGACCCAACCTTGAGGCACAGCGGGAGTGAAGCTTCGTGTTTTGTTGCAAGGGCCGTTTAAAGTCATCGGTCATCCTGTCAATGGCGTTGACACGAACAAGGATAAAGTGACAGAAAACAGAAACGCTTGCGAACTCGGGATGCTGACATCCGGCTCCCTGCCGGAAATGGCGATGACCTTTGTTGATCACTCCAGCTTTTGCTAAGCTGAACAAGCATGCAGCGCGGCGACGGAAGGCTCTCTATCAGGACTTGGCGTAATCAAATTATCAAAACACTGATTAGCCAAGGCATCCCCTGTCAGCGTGGTGGAGGGGGGTGAGGCAGGAGTGAGTGGGGGTGGCATGCCGCATCTGTACCATCCGTGATGGGCATGGCTTTGTTGGTGTAGGTAGGTACTGCAGGCAGAACCCAGGATGTTGACTGTGTCCACAGGTACCGTGAAACTACCCACGCACACCCCTCTGACTTCAATCCCCTGCACTATGAACACGCCCCTAGTCTCGGATGGATGCTGACACCTGGGCGTGCCGGGGTGCCATTCCACGTGGACCGGTGGTACAGACATCGTGTCGCCCTGTGAGCCAACACGGGGGTTTTTTGTGGCGGTCCCCCTTGCCGATGTCACTGCCACCAGCCGATGGTTATGGGCACAGTTCCTAGCCAGTGCTCACTTCTCCTCGTACATAGTGAACAAGCTCCAACGCCTCATCCCTTCGGGCCCCATAATTCCCTGATTGGTCCATTGCATCTGCTTGACGATGTTTGTCTTCGCCCAAATGAAGGTAACGTTGGCGCCCGTTAGTCTGGCGTCAAATAAGAGGGGTATGGCGCTAACAAAGCTGCCATTGAGTTGCTCTTCACCGACTATCTTCGGACGTTGCAGGAGCCCGACAATCGGGAGAGCTAGGCAGCTCCCCGTCTGGGCACGCGTGCGCCGGGCTCGTCGCACAGCAAGGCACGGTCACAGTGTATACACGGGTGTACGGAGCGTGGGATGCAGAGATCGTGCTAGCAGACGCCATCAGGTTGCAGGAGAGAGAACAGGCGATATTGATAAGGAAATGCGTGAATCGCCGTTCGTATGTTGGAAGAGAGCGCTTCCCCATTTCGATGCGTGGCTTACTTTTCTCCTACTATGTTTCTGAATGCATTTCCCTCGCTGCCTCTCCTTGAGCTGCAAATTGCCGTAAGTGTTCGAATAGACTGCCACGAAGTAGTCGACAAGCTGAATGACTTGTGCCAGTTTGAGAGATAAAAGAGTTGTCTGTGTGATAAGGGCTGGGAGAGCTGGAGGGGGCAGGCCGTTGTACCTGAACCAGCCTCGACTTTGGCGAACCATCTTCCATGGCGAACCGCAGAAGAGGCTTTGCAGGCGACCAGCGCGTGTCTTCTGGGAAACAGGGTGGGCTGCGTGACTCGCCCCGAAGTCGCCCATGATCGTTGCCTTCAGCTGGCTCACCGAAGTTAGGTTGAACACCCATCCATGCCTCTCGCCTCCTTTAGAAGCCGTTCACAAGGCGTCAAAAGTGGTTCGCCCGTTCACTCAAGCTTCTGTGTTTCTTAAGATGGGGTAGCCTGGACTTGAGAGTCGTGCAGCATGACTGACTGCAAACTTCGTACTTCCAAGTGAAGTCTGGATATCTTTTTGGGCGACTGACCTACCGACAAAGGTGCAACGCCAGAATGACAGAGCTCGATAAATTCAGCGACACGGACTGAAATTTCTCGCTCAAGGCCAAGCAGAATACAAGGTCTTCGGATTTACCCTCTGAAAGTGTCGCACTCGAACAGACGATGGGCGACCGCTCTCCTGGTCGAACCAACTTCGCGAAGCGCAGCCGCGACAAAGATCTTCCCCAGAATGCCGACGGTGACGGCTCACGCAAGGAAACGGTGTTCATGAACGAATGGCATCCGGACGAGGGACGTCAGCCAACGAACCCGAATCTCACAGACTCTCCGAGAGTCGCGTCCGGCCGCAACTTCGAGCCCCGTCCTGCCGAGTTCGACAATACTGAGGTGATGATTGAGCAACCCGAGACTCATCCCATCAGTCAAGAACAATTGGTGGCTGAGGTGAAGGGCATTTACGCCAGGCTTGTCATGGTTGAGAGCAAATGCATTGAAGTGGACAATGCACAGAGTTCAAACAACCAAACGAACCCCAAGCTCAACAACGAGCAGTGGCAAGCCCTGATAGCTTTACATCGGACGCTGTTGCATGAGCATCATGACTTCTTCCTCGCGTCCCAGCATCCCTCAGCCAGCCCAGCCTTGCGACGGCTTGCCAGCAAATACGCCATGCCGGCGCGTATGTGGAGGCATGGAATTCACTCCTTCTTGGAGGTGCTGCGTCACCGTTTACCCGCTTCGCTCGAACATATGCTAACGTTCATCTATCTGGCGTACTCTATGATGGCGCTCTTGTACGAGACAGTGCCAACTTCCGAGGACACCTGGATTGAATGTCTTGGTGACTTGGGAAGATACCGGTGAGTCACCTGCTCCGCTATTGGAGACCCACGCTGACAGCTGCGCAGAATGGCCATTGAAGACGATGACCTGAAGGACCGCAAAGTGTGGACATCTGTTTCACGGCATTGGTACTCCAAGGCTAGCAATAAGGCTTCAACTACAGGCCGCCTGTATCATCATCTTGCAATTCTGGCCCGTCCAAACGCTCTGCAGCAACTGTTTTACTACACAAAATCTCTCTGTGTCCAGATCCCCTTCTTATCTGCAAGAGAGTCGATCATGACCCTCTTTGACCCGCACCTCAACGGGATCCCAACGCGTCTGCAAGAGATTGACGCCGCGTTCATCCGCGCGAACGGTATCTTGTTCAGCGGAATGAATACGGATCAGCTTGAGTCGTCTGTTTGCGAATTCGTCGACAGCTTGGACTTCCACATTGCCCGTCACACTCGCCTTTGGCTTGAAAGTGGCTACCATATTTCCGTCGCCTTAGGCTGCGCAATCCTCGAGTACGGCAGCGAAAGCAATCCCATCATCAGAGCCATAAAACTAGGCAGTGTCGACGACGCAGACGTCCCAAAGGATGTGGCTGAGACTGTCATTGCTCCAACTCAGAAATTCCTAGACGCCCTCGACTTTGCAGCTCGCACCCACAACGTAGTGTTCAGACGATTCGGCGACGACAACACTAGACCCTACTTACACGTCACCCTCTCTTTTCTCTACCACATGTCTCAGTTTCCCGCTGCAATGGCACTTATAGAAGAAAAGATGCCGTGGAAACTGATTTCCTTGCTCCTCAACACGATAAACTCCAAAGACATGTCCATTAAGACCATCAAATCCGAGGAGTTCCCTCGACCAGACAAGGGTGATCCTCGTCCTCTCCCTGACGATTTCGCGCAGCGGGGTCTTCTGTGGGTTGAGAACTATTACCCCAACGACTGGTTCACGGCCGCAAAGGTAGATGACGACGAGAAACACTTTGAAGTCGCATCAATGATGGAAGAGCGTTCATCTCGTTGTCTATGGCTGGGTTGTCGACTAGCAGCGACGAGCACGTGGTTGACCTACAACAAAGAAACGAGCCAATTCGGCGTGGCGTCCCACTATGAGATGAATATTGACTTGAGCAGCGATGCTACGCCCCAATCCAATGGAGAGGGTGTCAACGATACGAAAACGCCAGGTGCTCCAGAAGCGAGCAATTGATGGTGCTTCATCGGGGGCTTTGTGAATAGGTTACGATAGAAGGTGTAGGACGTTCTCTGCGTGTGGCTTACTTGGTTGTATTCCACGAAATAAAGAATCTTCTCGGTGTCAAGGGGCTTGTTGTTTTGTTCCTGGGTTTTTTTTCTCAACGCGACATTCCCCATAGTGTTGTTGCTCAAATAGAGTAATCTTGGTCAAGTTCCTTGGAGCGTTGTCCGTGCATTGTATTACCCGTGGCCCGTGCAATAACATCTTTTTGTGGGCGGCCCTCAGGAGGATACCATCTCTGCCAGTGGAGGAGGGCGAGACGCAGTCTTGCGCTTGGTCTTCAGTCAAGCCCTGCAGGCCTCGTGGGTGTCATCCGCATGTGGGACGAGTTCATCCACGGGCGGAAAAGCGTTCATTCAATGTGATGCATCTCTACTTGAGGCTTTACGAAAAGCTGCCGAGGGGCCGAGCACCAACCAAACGTCTACCGTACGAGAGTCGAGTCGCTCAGTATCTGGCTGGCATTGCATGTCCAATAAGGGGTCCAAGTCGTGTTCTTGTGGATGAGCCATTCGCGGCTCCTCAGCGCAGCCAATCCACGACCTGTACTCCAACGGGCCTCCCGTATGCGCTTGCAAGACTTCTCTCGCTTGCGTTTCGTGCTTTTCTCTTTCCATGGAGTCAACGGAGGCCGATGCGGGGCATTGACCGTCTCAGCTGCGACATCGAGACTATCCACTCCGGTCGATGATTCGTTTTCGTACCCCAGCAATTGTTCCTGTCCTACCGACGACCAAGGCAGGGTATACGCGACGGTTTTCTCTATCTTACTCGATACTCTCTAGAGTCAACGTATGATCTTTGCCCATTTCTTTGAATGCCTTGTCCCAAACACTATAGCGGTCCAGGTGTTGGAACCGATTCATCGTGGCACCGGCACAGGCTAAGCAAATTCTCTTACGTCGATCGAAAGAGCAATGTGAGAGAGTCTCAAGGTTGTCAAAGTGGGTGCGACTTTCTTCATGCCCATCAATAATGTACCGGATTGGATGCACAGGCCTTGTAGTTCGAGCTTCTCGAGACATGAGAATGGCACGAAGAGTGGTTTGAGAATCTTTCAGAGCGCTCTGATTTCCTGAGTGTCTGGGCCGTCATATTCGCTCAAGTCAACAGATCTCAATTTCTTCAGGTTTCGAGAAGCTTCAGGAAGCATGAAGACGCGGTATGAATAGGCTCCGTCTGGGTTGTCGTCGTCTGTATCGCTTTCGTTGGATTTAACTGGGTGAAAGACAAGGTTCTCTACGTAATCTCCCAACCTCGAGGTGCTGATGCGAACGAGTTTCCGCACATCAATACTTGAACACATCACATCATGGTTCTCCTTGGTAAGGCCATCGTGGATTGCGAAGGGTGGAAGTTTGAAAAGGCACAGGTCTGGGTGAGAGGGCACGGAACGAGGCAATTCACCTGGTCACAAAACGACTGACGAGTGACGCTGTCAGGTCACGATGAGTGTGCGGGGTCCACCTTGCGCGCACGCAGCCCTGCCCTGCTAGTACACACATAACTCGCGCAGCACGCATAGAATTAGGGGAGGCAGGTTTTAGCATCACCAGCAAAGGGGACCTAACTAGGAACTCGCAGCCTATTCGCCTATCACTCCGTACAGACCTTCGAGACTGACAGACGCCCATTTAAGACTGGATAGCCCATCGCTCCAGGACCCAGTCAGCGGTTGCGCCGTGGTCCAAGCTTCGGGGGTGGATATACCTGTAGTAAAAACTGGCTCCTGATAGGCCGACCTGGGCGAGATGCACTGTGCGAAGAGCCGACAAAGCGTCATCGCATGTTCCGCGCTGGCTGGGCACAACGCAGAGGCCAAGGATGGCCCCAGGCTCTGGCCATGTCTTGCCGCACCGGTTGGAAGCAGCAGCATGTGCCAATGGCTGGCCTCAAAAGCCTCGAGGATGAAACTGGCCTCGGCCGAAAGGTGAAGTCGTCCTTTGGCCAGCATTAGGCTTTCACGGTCTTGTGCATGAAGGCGAATGAATCCACAACCGCCGAGATGCCGGAGGCCAAGACCCGCGGACCCAACCAGGGAACAAGCAGGAAGCAGGCGCCAAAACTGCCTCGGACAAGATTGTTTGTCAGAGTTCGACGACTGATTGGTTCAGAGTTCCCCTCTGCATTGGCGTGTAACGGCCTCTGAGGGGCTCAATGCCCGGCTAAGCCAATCATACGAAAGCCTGATCTTGTCGCCGGTCGGTCGCGTGGGCGGACGTCGCGTGGGCGGACTAACGAATTGCCGATCGCTAACGTCTCCACTCGCCAGCCCCATCATTACCAGTGTTTCTCACTATATAGAGTGTGCTGTACCGCCCCACCCCTTTCTTACTTCCGTTGCGCCCTTCCATCCACGCCAACTGCCGTCTCCTACTTTGTCCTGCACACACATGCTGCCATCGACCGACTGATCTTGTTCTTCGCACCGCGACCGCTCGGTTGGTTGTTTTCCGGCTCTTTGTGCGAATAGGACCGGATCTTGTTGGAACCGATCAAGCCCGATACCTTCCGGCCGAGATCCGTCACCCGCAAGACTGGTCATGCTACTGTTCGCACAAGAGCCCGACATGCACCTCGAGCTTGGTCGTGCACGCCAGGACTCGTCTTGTTCACAGCTAGCTACCTTGCGGAGGACTCAATCCAAGGGAGGGAGGGATGAACCATTACCACAGTAAGCCATCCTCCGCTGCGTCCAAACGCCACATTCCATGCACGCTCATCTAGGACAACAAACTCAAGCGAAACAACATGTCCCGAAACGTGGACAAACCAACACATAGAAGTGAGAGCGTTTATGCTGTGCGCGAAGACCAAGAAGGACGACAGACCACATTCATCGATCAGCTGTTCAGACTGAAGATCACATTTCTTCATGGATCGGTATGTTTTCGTCTTAGCGTCGGCATCAGCAATGGGGACAACAATCCGTTTCGTATCTATTTGCAAGTTACACCCGACCGTCTCCACTCACTCGAACCCACCAACTGCAACTTGAATGACGAAAGCACGTCATTGAAGATGGCGATGTATCGCCAAGGCTGTACAAACGATGTGTGCCGCCTCCATTTCCGATTGCATAGTGGCGTCTGCGCACAACTTATCGTGCCGATGGATTTCGGATGTCGTGAGATTCTCGATGAATCCGGCCGACGTGGTTACGACTCGCTTGCCTCGCTCGCGGCCACTTCGTCATTCTCTGTCTACGTCCCGTACAACACAACCATCCAACGGCAGCTCGATCAATGTCAGACTGCTGTGAAGTGTTTTTCGAAGTTTGCGGAAAACAGGCAGCAACTTCGATCATTTCAACTCGATGTGGACCCGCAGAGGCTGTACGCTGGTAAAGGTGGCAGGGTTGTGGACCATCGCGATCGAACCGATTTTCAGCCGGACTGGGAACGTGACGGATCTACTACGCCAGCGACGATCGATTACGAGGACGACCCGCGGTATCTCGGATTACCTCCCCAGTATGATGGATATCCTGGGCAGGGGCTCACGACGACCTCGGCTGATGTGCCGAACTTGTCCGAAAGTCCCGCAGTTGACTGTGCGCCACCGGACTATAGCGCCACCGAACGCCCACCCGACGGGCCTCGTATCAAACGTGCGTCTTCTATGGACGACGACGCACACCAAAGCTCCAAGAGAATTTGCTCAATCGCCTCAACTCCCACACTGGGTTCGATAGGAGACGGACAACAGCTCGATGTGAAACCGGGATCTCAGCACGGCTTGACGCTCCAGCTTGCACGTCTAGAGCGATGCGTGATGCAATGCCAAAACCGGATAATACAACGAGAAGAGGACTTTCGGGGTGCCTTTGACTTTGTGCGGCACCGGCTGGCGGAGGTTGAGAATCAGAATGCGTCTTTAAGTAAACGGCTGGAGGAGGTTGAGGGTCAGAATGCGTCTTTGAGTAAGCGGCCGGAGGAGATCGAAGATCAGGATGAGTCTACGGATAAACGGATGGTGGAGGTTGAGGATCGGGTTGAGATTCTGGATACCAGGGTGCTGGAGGCTGAACAGCTCGGGCAACAAGTGCCGGATACGTTGGACGAAATGCGTGAGTTGGCGAAGGACACGATGGCCGACGTAATAAACGAGCATATGGAGGAAGGATGCGGAGGAGATGTGGCTGTCATGAAAAAGTATGTACACAAATACGTCGCGACTGGGTTAGCCGATTTACGGACGAAGATATGTCAGGCTCTTCAAGACTAGAGAAATTTGCCAACTCGAAGCAAGGATAAGTCAATAAATTGGGGGCGAGCTGCGTCAAGCTTAGGTATGCTGGCAGTCTACGCGCGTGATCGCGCTCCCAACGATGGTCACGACGTGACTCCTAAGCATACGCAGACGACGAGTCACTATATGTGGCTTGCAAGAATGGTCCTGTGCCACACCAGAGAACAGGGAACAACTCTTGATGATGTGAGGAGCTCTGGCACCCTCCATGAAAGTACCAATTCGCTTCTATGCAAGTCCTGGCGGCCGCAGTCACCCGAGGGTGTCCATAGGGTGTTCCTGTGGACGCAGGAATGAGGGACGAGAGGGGGCTTCCCGGGATCAAATACTATGCAAGACAGGCAGCGATTTCGTATGTTTCCCGTCGCCGCGACACTTGAAAGTCAATTCAAGCTGAGATGCGCAGAGAGGCAGCTTATTTGGGGCTGTAGAGGTCGTCGATTACCCTAGCTGGCTTGTTCCGGCCAGGGGGCAGAGATGACTACCTGTCAGGGGTTTGCGCGTTGTTGGCAAACAACCACATGATTGGGTTGGACTGAATTTGCTATCTAGTGTGTGATTGGTGCTCTGCCACGGTGGCCCCTTCTGCGGCGCAATAGTCACCCAATTTGGGGTGCTTGGCAGGCCAGCAGGCGGTACCGACACCCATGTCCGCTGATACTCGGAGGCGTGTCGCGACTTCCAGGCTCGATGTCACGTACGGAGTAGTGTACTTGGTCGTGTGGACTGCACTCCCCGTTGGTGCCAGCTAGCCAGGCCCCTGAGACAGGTTAGACCGGGACTGACAGATGTGATGTGATGCAGACACTTGCGTCTGTATTAGTCTTGGCCGCAAATCTTACCCAATCACGTCTACTGGCCGAGCAAGTCCGGCCCATCATGCTCATCCCGAGCCACTGACGAAACAAGCGGGACTCACTACGGCGTGGCATACCTTTGCAAGGTTGACATGGAGAAGTGGAGAGTTCCGGGCTGATTTGCAGGCTTCAAGTGGATCTGTCCGTGTCGGACAAGTCAGAAGGATTCAATCTGCTCTGCGAGCGATTACGAGCAAAGCGGCGAGGTATACTTCATTGAAACGATTCGCAATAATCCTGGGCGGTGGTGGACCTTTGCAATGAGGTCAGCTTCCGGCGACGCTGGGCACAACTTCGATATCTGCGCTGATCTCTCTACTGCGGAGGCGGCCCATCTCGTTCTCGATGAACGAAATCCTTGAACGCCCCTTGATTGCCAGGTCTCTGGTAAGAATAACGGGACCCAAAAGGTCATGGTGATTATGACGGTCAATAGCGCTCGGTGCAAGAAAGAGCTTTCCGACATGATACGAGAAGATTCGACCACCTATCCCTGAACATGCCCTGGACAGTGCTTGGCTGGCTTGTCCATTTGCTAATTCTGGCGGCCGTGACATCTCTCCCACCCACCGTCTTGGGTATGAAAGTTGCGGACTGCTTCCGCGTCGACTTGCCAGCCATGGGGTGGCAAGAGTACAGGGCCACCTCTGGGTTGTAGGAATATCAACACCCGGCCCTGTGTTCTTACCACCGCCTTCCAGCGTAACCGCCTTGCTTCTCCATACCTCTTATGCAGTCGTGCCATGCATGCTGCGAATGAATCTCAGCTGAACCCTGGAGGACCAAACGAGGCGACACTATTAGAAAACGCGGACCGGAACCCAGGGTTCTGGCAGCCATTGCGCCTCTCAAGATATTGGGAAAACGTAAACCTCCGCCTCGAAACCCACCCGGGGTGCACGACCAGGGCTTGGAGGAGTGCAGCAGGCTGAATTACAGATCAGTACACCAGGAGTCCACCCCACTGATGGCCGTCCGCACGATCGCCTCGCGCTCATGTGAGTCTGTGCCTGTTGGAATCCAAAACCTGCTAGCAAGGTTTGCCACATCCGACGCGCGCTTGCTCTCACATTTTTCGTGCTCTGCTGTGCCCATGATAAGATCATAAGGGTAGTGGCTTTGGCGGAGCAGTCTCAATGCGGGCAGTGGCCTTGCATGTACTTGCAGTGCGCTACCAGCCATATTGACACCGGCCTGACATGGGCAACTGGCGGTGCTTGACAAGTACTCACTGACCGGCAGCCACGCTCCGGTCCTTCGACCGGTATTGCCCCCCACAAAGTTCACGGAACGGGGTGGGCCCCGGGGCAAAACACGCACGGTCAGTGATCCGGGTTCTTCTTGTTCGGTCCCGAAACCGGCCAGCGGTTTGGAAGCTGGCGCTTGAGCACTGCTTTGTCATGTGGTTTAGGCGGAAGGAAGTCTCACTCGTAAGTGCATATCAACGATGCTACCCAAACCTGCAAGGTCGCTCTCTGGCGACAACCGCTTCCTCGTTTGCGCAGTCGGTTTCAGGGTCCGTACGTGTGATGAATTTGTGAGCCAGCGTCATGCCATTTTGATCGAAACTTCAAGTACCGATCATAATAGCAACAGGTTCTCATCTGGCAGTGAAGGAAAATCGCGACAAGGGAACCCCCAACCTCGGTATTGTCAGGTTGAGAACACCTTACATCTAAGCATACGAATGCATCTTCCCAGCACTCTGATCCTCTTCTGTGGAGTCTGGATCTCCCAAATTTGACTTACACTTGCCGCTTACGTGAAGGCGCTTGGTAGCGGAAGGCAAGCTCAGCCCGGGAAACACAGCACAGGGGACGGCTTTGGGAGCTTGCCAGCAGGTGACTGGATCATAGACATCGTGAGGGGGCGAAACCCCAGATGGCTAAGACTGACTGAGATCGTTCAGATCGAAAGAAAGTTAAAGCTAAAAAAGAGAAAGAGAATTTGGTCTGAGAACCACGGCTACGCTTCCGCTCGCACACGCGGACATCAACCCGTAACATTCTGGTACGTTTCCCTGCCTGTTATCTACCTCTAGCGGATTATTGGGCACGTACTGAACGACTTTCCAGACGGACGTAACCTCCTCAATCTATAGGCTTCCTTTATGCCGTGAAACGGGAGTCTGATAGTTAATACTATCGACATCGGCCTGGGCTTGGGCAAAGTGCAGCACTGGTTCGCACCCCACGAGACCCGAAAACATCGTCCTCAGCACATAGAAGCTGGACCACCGGCCAGCTCGAAGACAAGTCGGTGACTAGCGGATTCGCATACCTAATTTCGCCTTTTGTCTCCGAGGGAATTGCGCTCTCCACTGAAAGCGTGTGACTTCAACAAGGAAAGGGTCTGGAGAGGGACTGCGGATTTGTGGCCTTACTCCTGCGGGTATCAATATGTCGCTTTCCCACCGTCCGCAATCTTGACGCCCCTGATATAAATAGGCGGCTTTCTCCTCGCCTGGGACTTCTCCTGGTCGTCGTTCTTGTCATCAACATCTTCATGTGCATTCGAGCTATACAATGTCAGTGATATCACAGCACTCTTCATGTGAAATCTAACAATCTGTTAGGAGGAGCCAGCGCCGCCCTAAGCGCAAAGCGCCTGACGGAGGAGATCTGCCATGGGGTGGGTTCGCAATTGCAAAGAAATCTCGCATCCGAAAAGTAAGTCGAAGTTCTGGGAAACGCTTTCGTTGCTCTATGAGACCAACCTTCCTTCCGTGGTCTGATAAAGGAAGGAATCAAGCAACATCAGCATTGAAGCTAATTTACTCTTCCCAGGCATGCAATGAGTGCCGTACATTGAAGACTAAATGCTCCATGGAGGCGCCATGTACAACCTGTCGACGGCGAAAGGTCGAATGCTCTTTTCTAAGAGAACCCGGAAATGCCGACAGATCTCTGAATCCCGGGCAGAGCTTAGGCGTGGAAGTAAACCAGTTCGAAGGCGCAGTCAATTCCAAATTTCCAGGTTAGAAGACTCCATTCATCTCAAATCACAAACGTCAGCCTCTGATCTATGACAGGCCACTTGAGAAAGCTATCGCCAATGCTCAATGATTACAATGCATCTGTTACAGCTTCGGGGGAAGATGCCGCGCTGCAACCAGAATCCAGGTCTGAACCTCCAATGACGCATTGGGTAGTCTACGAACAATTCAACTCGGGCAAATTGGTTCACAGCGGTCTGTGGGGGTCAAATTGTGTGCCCCTCGATAGCGTGCTTGGTTCTCACGAGCTGACGCTTCAGGCCATGGAGCGATATCAGTGCCTGCGTTCGGAGCGTGGTTATCATGATGAGTACTTGAATGCTCTGATGATGGTGTTTCCAAATATGGCGATGTAAGTAAACTGCCTCACTCCACCGGGCTGCTCTAATCATGAGTTTACAGTCGAATTTTCTACGTGGCTTACTTGGATCATTGCCCTCCTAATCCTTTAACGCCTTTTTTGGACTCGGAGACAATTCACAACGTCGACCTCACTCGTGTTTACTGTTGTACTCCATCAGAAGTACTTAAGATGGATCATCATTTCAGTCAATCGATTCCAAGTAGAGATATGAGAAACTAGGTGAAGAGAATGTCACCTTGAAGATCTGCCCTTTACGGACCGTAGAATGTGTGACTCCAACTTGACACTGGTCGCAGATAATGGCAGAACGTGATGTCAATGCCTACAACACAGATCTCTCCTGCTCGGCCGGTGTCGGCTACGGAAGCCCGCTGTTTCTCTCTATAGTAGAAGTCATTTTACCATCCCTGTCCAACTATCCTCGCGTAATTGGCAGCGACCTCATTAATGGCATTCGATACTGTTCTTGTACGGATCCATATGTACGTCCGTTCATGTCATGTTGACGATATAAATGTCGGATTGGAAGTCCAATTCGACCTCGAGGCAAGGGGCCCGCGCAGGGGCCACTTACAGACCGTACTCACGAGATCCACGGTCTGCCCAACCTACGGTTAGAACCTCCTTTTTACACCTTACGCAGAAGTTAAATATATATCGATTTGACCTCTTCGTCACCCACGGTTCGAACCATCCCTGTGATAGGAATACCAACAATAAATGACATCGCGGTCGGCAGTGAAGACAGGCCTTACCCGTGTTTGGCATCTATCGCCTCAGCGTTAGCATTGGCCGCAACAGCTGCCGGCGTTTTGTCACCATCGATATCGCCACAACGCGCTCTCTTCATCTTCACAGTCGGGCCAAAGTTTTGGAAACGTAAGGACAAGACACAGGGTCTGGCAGAGGCGGCATCCTCGAACAACACCAATGCGCGACGGGGATCCAAGTGCAGAGCAGCCGTCGAATGCAAAACCAATGCGAACGGTCTTCGAGCCATACGTCACTCAATTTGTTCAGATGATTTTTTCTATATGCCACGTGCATCACTCCGATGATAAAGAGAAAATCTGTCACGAAACAGGAATGGTATCAGCACTTGTCAAGCATCTTTCCACGTGCTTTCTCACGTGGATATCACACTCACTTAGTATATAGACATCTCTCATGTGCTCATTTTAGATGGGTTACTTCAAGCCACTTTAACCCACTTCATATGCCCATTGCTGCGTGCCATAGCTCGTGACAAAATCGATGCCATTGTAGTGAGACTTGAGGATGACTCAATCTGCAACATCGGCAATCTTTGGCTCACGATGGAGAACAACCCACTGTCGAAGCTCCAAATCGATCCATGCTATCGTACATAGTGTTACTACGAAGGCAGAAAGGAAACCATGAGAGACACACAAAAGGCCATTGTAAGTATTACCTGAAAGTTCCTGTACATGACCATGTTGAACTGTTAGTTGGTGATGTGGTACTCATTTATCGAGAGGTCGGTTCATGTGCGGAATTTGACACGATCACAAAGGTTGCCGAGGATTGTATCAATACAAAGCACATATTTCTCGGAGATCCCTCAATGGCATCGTTGACTACAAACTTGCGCAATATGGATGTCTATTACTAGAGAATAGACTGCATTATCTTCATTCTGTCTGAAATCATTTTGGACATGCTTTGTGACAGCTATGACATACAACAACTTTGTCGCGAGATATGGGTGAGGTTAATGCTGCCCATAAGGAGTGACCCACTTTTTGTGACAACTTTTCATCCATGATTGCCGTATTCTGCCATCTGAGGAAACTGTTGACTTCGAAATAGCATTTCTGCGGAGCCTTCCAACGGCGTGGTCCTATGAATCCAGTTGCTAGATGATCCTTGTCCGAAGACTGCAGCAGCTGATGAAAATCAGCTTCTGTGTTGGAGGAGGAGAATGGTGTCATTGACAGCAAATTTAGCATAGCTTGTGCATGTCTGGAGCTTAGGTGTGCATAATCGAGGCCGTCTAATTGTGGGGCAGATGAAAGCTGAAGGGGACTCGCCTAAGGATTAATATTGCTGTGCTGCTCGTGCAGAGACCCAAATCTTCTCCTTCCAACCTCAAAGACGACTTCACGACATCTCTCAACTGCAACGATTGGCATTCTACGCGATGGAATCCGGATGGAAACTGATAGCTTTCACAAAAGTTGACTCTCAGGTTTACGCGCAATACAAAGACAAATGCGGAACAGGAAGCCTCAGTATTTATGATCTTTTACCATATAGGTCTCACAGTAAACGTTATCCTAACCACCGAATCCGCGCCTACGCCGACGAGTTTCCCTACGCACCGGAGTTTTTTGCGAAGTTGCGAAGACTGAAATTGCAGATAGATGAAAGTCAGGGAATCAAGAGTGGGCGTGAACACACATGCGCCCACAGGGCCGCTGGAAAGCAGTGGGAGATCTTCTTGCAAACAGAAGATCCCGACACTTGGTTCAGGTTTGTGGCTGAAACCAATCACGGTGTCGTTGGAGAGCAGAATGACACCTTGGACACTCGGTTTGTAGCCTGGATGAACAATATGGAAGACTTCAAAGAATGGGAAGAGCGTAAGAAGAGTCGGTGATCCTTCATACAGTAGTCATATGGCAAGCCAGTGTTAACAATTTTTAGGGAGTAAAGGAAAAGCTGTGCAACCTCCCGTACCTCTGTGGCAAGAATACGAGCTGGACAGATAGTGTGTTGCTGTTCAGGAGCCAGTGTTGCCTAGGGCTGCACGTCGGTTCAAGGAGGTCCAAATTCTGTATCGCTAGTTTACAGGCCGTCGCACTGCGCAAATCAAAGACTGCCATTGTCGCTGCGATGAACCCGAAGCCCAAGTAGAAATGCGCTTCATTGTTGATGGTCTAAATGTGTGATATTCTCGCTGTGACGATGACCTCGGCTATTCTTGGGCGGCGGATGGACGTGGAAACGATCGAGCCTACCGACCTGATGCATGGTTGACTTGCTGGCTGGTCTATCTCATCAATTGGAGTCCCGGGTTCCAAGGGAGACCGCGAGCTGCCTTGCTGTTCTTAGGGATCCATACGATAGCGGCGATGAGAAATACTTCGAAGAATCTTCACTGGTCTCCTTGGACCATCTTAGCCTCCGCCCACAATTCAGATCTAGAGCCCTTCTGATCTCACCGAGATTTGCGAGTCATGCAAAGTGGTGCGCAATGCCTCTTGCGCAGCATTCAGTTCCAACGGTCCGTATGATCGGAACTCGGCTTCTCTATGTTCATTGCGGTCTGGTCGAAAATATGATGAAGTGCTCACGTCGTGGGCTGCAATCAGATCCTCGGTTCTGGCAATGCGAACACAGCGGCAGGTAGTCATTTTTGTATGTGCAAATGTTACCGTTTTATCTTGTCGCATCACCGTGGATCCATCTCTGCTTTAGCCTGATCCGTGGCTTAATGCGCGCCTCCAAACAGTTTAAGACCTCCGTGATACCGCTCGACCCCGCGCGAATCAAACAATCATTCGACCTTTGTCGCCGTAGCGGCAATTCGCTCCGGCGTTTCTATTCCACAACTAATCATATCACCATTCTTTATTGTGGTAACCATCGGGATCGGCTGTATCATACAGCCTGTATAATACAGGAGACATTGGGGAACTATGGGGTTATCCTCGTTCGTGTTGATGCGGACCCTCTCGGGGTACTGCTTTAGGTCCGCGACCACATGGAAGGTATGACAGCGCTTGAGGAATGCGTTGACGGTAAAAGACTTCTGCTGACGCTCCCAAAGAAAGTTGCGTCGGAAGGACTCGGTCAGCTCTGTCGCGAGCATTCTCCGTCGTCTGCCCCTGAACATGAGGGTAAGAAGAGAGTGATGCGAGGTCAGGCCAAACGCGGAGTCGACACGCTGAAAGGAAGTCTCCTCGCTGATGATAGACCTGCTGTCGTTGACGATCGAGACCTTCCAGTCGGCGCTGTCATCATCATCAATCGCGCATTCGTCGCCGTAGTCGGAATCTGGGTCGTCAGGTTGTAACCTGTCCCTTTCCACGGGAGGCTGGAATGAAGGCGTTTGCCCCTCGCCTATCGCCTCCTTACCGAGGTCAAGACTGGCCGAGTTCGGCATACGCTTCTCGCTTACATGGTCACGTTTGCCGGCAGGAAACGAGTTAGACCAGGGAGCAGCAGCAAGAGGAACGGACCTAGGGGACAAGTTTAGGCGTCTTCTTTGCTTTCGAAATCGACGCTGCGAAAGAGTTAGGGGATGGCTAGTGAGCGTATCGGTTAGCTGTTGGCGGCGATGGGCGCTTAAAGCTCGGTACAGGAAGATAATATGTACCGGGAACTAACTTCTCCGCGAGTAAGCTCGAGTAGCTCCATTGAGGTGGATTAGAAACGTCAGCTACTAGTAAGATCTTTGATATCCTAAGAATTCATGAACTCGTCGGTCTGGATGGCGTCAAGAATCGCGGGGAGGACGTGCGGAACGGGAGACTTAGACGGAAGAAGGGCTTGTAATGGCTTGCGAGAGCTCGAGATCAGCTGTCACAGGAGACGTATTGATTGTACGATAACCGATGCTCATCGGGCCAGTCACCTTGAAATAGGATGCTGATCGACGGTCAACTTTCTTTCTGGTGGTGGCATTCGAAGACCCTGTTCGCGACAATGGTGCCGTATGCCGATGCTGGCATGCTTTCTGTCACCGCTCGACGGTCTTGCGCGGAAGCGTGTAGAGAGCGGACTAGAGTGGGGACTCACTACCGTATGCGGGCCCATCCTCATTTCCCGATTGTCCAGGTGCAGCCGACGCAGCCAGTATCGAAAGGGGCACGCACTATCGACGGATAGGTTCCTTAGCCGATGGGCGAAAGTGCGGTGGTGTTGTGGGGCTCGAGACCTTGGAGAGTCATGTTGATCCGACCGGCATCTAGTTCCATAGGTAGGCCCTCGTCACGGACATTCTGCTACCTTGGGCGTCGAGGTTGGTCCGCCATCTCAGCTCCGCCACCTCAGGGCTCAGGGCATGGTCCTCGACTCCAGCACTTTACCGGCTCCCGGAAGCATCGTGAGCAGTTGGCTGTCGTACTTTCGCAACTTTCCGCGTTGGTCAGTTCTTTGCTTGTTGTGTGGACTCGAAGAACTATGATTCTTTCGACGCCGTCTGGGCACAGCACGGTTTTATGGCTTCCAGTGAGAGGTGTCCGCGATGGTTCGCACGTCCGACATTGCTGAGAGCAGACTACGAGCAGACGACGAGGCATGCTGTGAGGCATACTCGGAAGCATTAGAGACCCGGAGACCCGTCACTTGCACGTTGCACCGGCATTCAGGGGCCTGGACCCGGCAGTGGTAACATCAAACGCACGATGGGGGCAAAGAGTGTCGATTCAATGGAGAATTATCTCCGGTCTAGCTAGGCAGGTTACTGCAGATACATTCCGCCCATCCGTTGGCCCCGTCGATCTCACTAAACCAAACCCCTAATACCCCTCACGACTATCGGTTGTACTGTCCAGAGTCAGTAAGACCTGGGTATGATCGGGCTCGTCACTTACGACAACGCATTCTTCGCAACGCACGCCGTGAAAATTGACCCAGCTGGCGCAGTCGACACCGTGCTTGTATCTGTTGACGCAGGGGCAGCGATCCATCGTTTCGGCTTCGTTCGCTTTCGATCTTGTGATGGCTCGTGGGTAGAAGTGTAAGACGCGCCGGTTGTGGTAGAAGTGAGGTGTTGATGCTCTTCGGATTCAGGAGTCTTCCTATCAGCACCAGTTGGCCTTTATATGTCCTCCTCCCGGATGCCCAGCTCGTGCCACAGCTGCCCCAAACGGACACGACCGCAGAGCCGGCGCCTCCATTCGCAAGGAGCCACGGTCCGATGCCCAAGAGACCGCCTATGCCGCCGGCAACCAACGGGTACTCGACGGCATGTCCGCGATTGGCCCCTCTCCTGGTGCAGGATTCTCTCGAAGGTCGGCCAACACCAACGTTGCCGGGCGCTGCGCTGGCTGTCGCTGCGCAAGACATGAAGTCGGAAAATGTAGCCCTGATTGGCTGGGCTAGCGTCTCCGTGCGTATGCCAAATGCGGGCCGTTCTAGGGACGCTACAACGTGAGATGAGCGCCCCACGTCGTTTGTGCCATGGCACCGGGGAGGCTGCAAGGACGATGCAAGATGCACCGGTCACACCCCCTCCATCTTCTCCTACTGACGCCCACCCCTCACACCTATGTCATCACTTACACCCCCTCTGTTGAGGACGTGCACGCCCGGCCGCCCACCCCCTCCTGGCGAGCTCCAAACCCCACATGAGATACATAGTACTGTATGTGCATCACTCTGCGGCGAGGCTCGAGCGCCCCTCAGCCAATAGCGCTCGCTCTGGCTGCCCACGCCCGCCCTTAACCCACTCTGCAGGGCTGCTGCCCCGATTGTGCTTCGGCTCGAGATGCCCCAATCCGGGCTCCGGGGCTGTTGCGAATGCGCCAGTCGTTCCGCCATTGCGTCCGCAGATCGCCCTCTGCCAATGAGCTCGCCGGGCTGTCACGATGCTCTGAAGGATCCCGTTGCGCATACTATCCTCTTCCCCCACCCCGAGTCACAAAGGAAATGCCTAGCAGCAGCAGAGGCGGCTTGAACAGAATTATAGATTTGGCTTGGGCATAGGATACACTCTGCGGCATGACGACTTGACTACGCCTGACTTCGGTTTACGCATCCAAACTGTCCCCTTTCATTTTCTACCTAGTGATCTCTTATGCAACGAGGCCAATGAAGACGCAACTCTCATTTACGCGTCTCGCCTATCAGCCGACAAGCGAACTCGTTTCGGTCCAGGCTCATCTACGAGATTCTCTCTGGGTCTCTTCATTCGTGGCGCGCTAGCGCGAATGACATGCCTATAGTCGTCAGCTTACGCATGTCAATCGTTGAGACCGACCCTACAGTAACATCTCTACGCCTGCTTCCGGTTGAAGGTTTGCCCAGGTAGAAAGATACCCATACAATCCTTTTCTTGCTCTCGGTGTCCTCCACAGGTCTCCAGTCTGAAATGCTCGCGCCACTGTTGATGTGGGGGGTACAGAAAATGAGCTTGTGCCCCGAGACACAAGTCCAGCTTCCTCCATCATCCGTTTGACCATTTGTATCATCTCTGCATGCACTCTCTCTGTACGTAGTTTGGCCAGTGTCTCGTTTGCTGGAGGGTCGTCATGGGGCTTCGCCGGCGATGCAATCAGTCCGCCGAATTGAATGTCGACGATAGCTTCGGCATGGAGGGAACTAATTCCATTTTGATCAGCGGATGTCTCATTGAATAGCCCGGCAACAGCGGTACTTAGAGAGCTCTTCAAAGAGATGCGATGGAACCGTCGCTCCGGTAATGCAAACGCAAACGTAGTCATGCGAAGGCGTAACGTCGAGAGCCTTTCCGTAACTGTTCTTGTCAGTTACATCAAGTGTGCGATCGATTAACCGACTTGCCTGCAATCTGAATAATCAAAGTCAAGTGATTCTGCTCTGATGCCGAAATTTCCCGTCACAAATCTGGTAGATTTGTCGCTGATGATGAACCTTCCGTAATTGACTGACTGGATGTTCCAGCCTTCGATCGACTGGCTGTCCCAGTATTTTCCGTGACGTTCCAACACGTCAAGAGCTACTTCACTGGAATCTTCTAGGTCGGAGACACCAGAGTCGCCGGATGAATCGCCATGACTTGAGGATGTTTCATAGCCATAAAGTGAGAATGCATCGTTGCCATAAGATCGGGTCTCCGCTGCCATGTTGATGAACGAACAGAATATTTTGTCGATACTAATATGGGCTCGACCAACACATTTCCAGCTCTCTTCAGGGCCGCGACGGCTTTATAAGACGCTGTCAGCGGCGCACGGTCTCGTCATCCCGTCCTTTAGTATGTAATCAGGTGGGCCTCGATCGTCCATTGCTGGGTCTGGGCTGCCCGGGCACTGGAGTTGCCCAAGGATAACCCCTTGGCCAACTCGAGCTGCTTTCAGGGATCTTCGGGACCAAACCACACTTAGGAAGCAGCTTCCAACGTATTCGGGGTATTGCCGTCAGCCTGTCTTATTCACAAGCAGTGTCGACAACGCCACGCTCCTCGCTCATACACCCTCTCGGCCGGCCCGGCATCTTGAGAGCCATAGACCAGTAGCAAAGTACGAGAGACCGGCCGCCTCATACCTGAGGCCTTCTAATCGAGTTTCAGTACATCAAGTCCATCACTTTGAAGTTTGGCTAACCATCGTGTCTCCTGGTGCACCTTGTCGTTCCAACGCCGCTGACATTTCACACTTGACGCCAAGAGCTGCTTCGATGAGGGTTAAATCATGTCTCGGGACACACGTAGCGCCTTCTCTGTCGTTTTTGGCGTTTCTTCGTTGGGGCAGCCTTGTAAAGGAGGTTACGCTCTGGTGGCTTGAACGATGCAGTTTACCCCACAGCTATCGCGAAACTTTGGAACGTGATGTGTAATGTACGCAAGCAATTGCTAAGAAGCGTAACATCCCCAAATATTACGATGATACTGTGCATCACTTGCATGCGAGAAAGATCATAGCGATTTCTTATAATGCAATCGTTTGCGCAGCGTTCGTTACGAGGTGCCTCCCTGTAAGTGTCGTTCGGAATTGCCATGCTTCGTGAGCCCGCAGGCAACTGACCACTAATTCCTGCCCCGCAGTCATCTCCCACCCCTTCATTTACAAAGCGAGGCCACAGACATTTTATCGAAACACCGCGTTGCCGATATGCAATAGCTTGAAGACGATCAGCCTCAGATCTTTTGCCGAAGTACGAGGGGGAACTGACTAATTGCAATACGCATGAAAGAAAGTCTGGGAGATTTCCAATATCGCTGCTTTCACAAGCTCATCATCCAAACCAGGCCGTGCAGACCCTTCGTTCGCGATAGCTACATTTGCTACTATGAACTGGATCATTGTCGATGCAAGCCAATCTTCCAGTTGAGGTCTTTTTTCATCCTTATGATGTTTGACGGGAAGCTTGCGGTGTTCGATTTTTGGTTGCATGCCGATCTTTTTTAGATCACGTTCGATATTGGAGGAACCGTGACCGATGTGTTCTTCTGATATTTCTGAAGGTTCGTACAAGATCCGAGATAGTTTCAGGAGAGGGGATGTTTCGGGCAGGCTACCCTCGTCGGTGAAAGGAATCATCTCGACTACTTCTATGTGGAGCACACCTGCAGTTGCAAGGCAACTTTGCACGTTCCTGAGATATTCTGGCCAGTTTTCTATGTACCCGATCACTCGAGAATGGATCAGATCGTACTTTCGCTCCTTCCACATCATGCTCGGGTCGACTTCAAGACAGATGTCATCGTCGAGCGAGTCTCTGCAGGATTGTCAGTTCTGTTCTTTTGGTGGACCTCCCCAACATATAGTCGGGGATGGAGCTGAGGGTCACGATATCCTATAAATTGTGCATTCTCAAGTCCGTTAGTAGCCCTCATTTCGGCGGCTCGAGTTAGCCAAATCGCGCTGTTCGTTGGGAAGTCTGCGGCAAGTTTGACTTCCGGCACTGAAGACCAAGATTGATGTCCGAAACCAATTTCTAGAGTATGGTTTAGCAGGTCCCATGCTTTCGCGAGGGTGTCCTGTCACAGCTGTCAGCGTGAGAGCGAAGGGGGTAGGGGTGCCCGAAATGGGTCGCACATTTTTCGGGTACTGTCGTGTAGCAGATGGTACAGCCATTGCGAAGTATGGCACCGAACTGCTTTTAGATATAGGAAGCAAGAACAAATGACAAGGCGCTCGATCTTGTGCACAGTCGTCTCAGGCAAGCTTTCTGTGTCTTGCAAGCCCGGCAAGCCATTAAATTCTCCTTCATGAACATGAGGAAAATCATGAGCTATGAGATTCTACAGACCCTTGCAGGCGGTCCCACAGGTGCTCGGCGTCATGTGATGAAGATTACAACGCTTTCCCTGATTGATGAGGCTTTTCTACAGGGGATATCTCGAAGGCCTGGAAATCAGGTTTGTCGGCTCCTCGCTCGGCCTACGCATGAACTCCGTCGCAATCTCGGATCTCGCAATCCGGGGGTTCCAACGGCTGTTGGAAAGCTACCCTCCAAGGTCGCAAGAGAAATGGCATAAGGAATCGAAGCATCTAATCACAAAGGTCCTAGGTTCCACTAAGAAAAGCAACCGGGGTAATCAAAAGCCTAGATTTGTTTCTGGTCACAGCTATAGCCCTCGTAGTTTGAACTGGGGGAAATCCCTGAGTCGAAGCGGCGAAACCCTCTGCGTAGCCGCGCGCTCACCGAGCTCCTGCTTGGGCGCCGACCCAATCGTGAGTGGATGAACCATCGTCTCAACACCAGACATTGAGCACCAGCAAAATACTTCGAGAGTCAAATGACAATCGCGTTCTGAACGAATTGTCTCAATTCAGGGAACCATCTGCTGGGAAAGGTACAATCCGCTTGTGTGCCATCCGTGGTATGCACTTACCACATTCAGCTGAGTGAACTAATGATCCAGGCCGACCGCAGGAGTCACAATCTTTGTGGATTGTAGCGCATAGCAGTGGGATTATGGACAGGAAAGGAGGTGTGTCACTTTGGAGCATGCCTGACTGACCCAAAGCAAGCGTTGGCAACGGGTGCGGTGCGACGCCAACCATCTTTCCCTTCTTCCCCTCTCCATCAAGCTCTCGGCAGGATCTCGAGCCATATCCTTCCTAGCAACTGACTGGATCTGTGAACGTGGTCTAGGTTGCTTCTATAGCGATACTCATTCACAATGTTTCACGTGTCGTAAGGATCTCCGCGGTCAATGGCCAAAAGACCAGATCATCGCATATGGGAGCCAGGATGTCAGCCATACATACCTGTTCAACTGCCCCGAGCTGTCCACCAAGTTCCCATACGCGGCCCTGTTGCGACTCAACGGACGAAAGAGGCCGCTTGGGCATTTGCAGTCGCACGCGGACTTTTCGGTTCATGAATTGTAACGATAAGAGAGGGGTTTCCGCCGTCGGGCTAGTCTCGGTCTTACTGAATCCCTTCCAAGCTCTCATTTGGGTAAGGATATTGTTTCCTCGCGCAAGTTGCAGCAGCCAGCAGGGGGTTTTCCATGCACCAGTCTAGCTAGAGCATTCCAGGCTTTCACTTTGAATTTCGTTCGCGGCCTCGGGCCACACCTGGGTCTCGAAATGGTCAGAGAACCCGATCAGTCTACGGGCGTCCTTTGCGCCCGCTCTGTGTGAATCGTTAGCGACAGGTTACTCGGCTCCCTAAGGCTTAGCTGAAGCGGGGAGACCGGCCGCCATGGACGTAAGGTTCGAAAAGAGCAAGACGTGGCTTTCCACACAGCTCTGGTGCTCAATCTCCAACAGAAGCTAGAAGTCCCGACTCATTGTCCAAGATTGCCGCATTTCTCCCCCCTTTTCCCTGGTTAATGGTGAAGGCTCTGGCTCTCAGATATAAGCCTATCCCGCTGAAAATACACCCTGTAGCCTGGGAAGTTAATTTGTGACAGCCCATAGAGTATAGCAGAGTCGGGTCCGCCAGCTCAGAGCATTGGGCTTTGCCTCGGCCGTTGTCGCCAAACCTATTGTTGAGGAAACCGCACAGTCAGCTCACCATGTCTAGAGGTCGTGCTTAAGGCGTCTTAGTGCGTCCCGCGCACTAGATTAGTACAGGCCGCCAACAGGCGTGAGCAGGAACGACGACCTCATTCAATCTTACCGGGTTGTCGACGGACGGCCCACACAAGTCAGGCACCGAGCGTTCATACATCACGCGGAAGTCACATGCGCTGATCACAGCCTGCCTGTTCATCCGGTTTGTCATGTTCTGTACGAAGAAGTGTCTTACTCGCCGTTCCCGTCGTCGTTGACGTTTTTTTGACATTCCGTTGTGACACCGACTGCGACTTCAACTGGACAAGTGGGCGGACTTTGGCCGCCTCGACATTTCTGTTCGATGCGGCGCCTGACTGGAGATATTGCGGAAGCGAGAAGCGAAGGTGCATCATAAACGTTTTCTTAGGGCTGGGGTAGGCCGTCCCTTATCTGGCAGAAAGAAAGGGGCGAGAAATCGGGGTGTTGAACCTTGACAGGCGCCCCAAAGATCCTGCGCAGATGCGGCGGCAACAGCGTACCCCAGCTCCAGTTCGAAGTCCTATAGGCTGTAGCTGAAGATGCCTTTGAGCGCATGGCGAATAGGGCACGATCTTTGGGGCGTATTACAGAAGCATCATGCATTATACCTTTCTTTCATAACGCGTGCATAGTCCCGCGTCGTCGAACACATCATGCCTTCGTTTGCCGAAGGCCACAGATCCTCGCCTCAAGCCTGCTGCTAACAGTGGATCCAGTTGTTCGAGTCACTACACGCTGCCCAGATTGCTGTGTGGCCAGAGGTGGACTGTCAGGGGGGATCTAGGTCATTGTACACTGCGCCCAGGTTATGCGCGCAAATGCAGAGAGATCGTAGTCGCTAGACATTGAGTAATGGCTACTTCACCGCGTATCCAGGCAGTGGTAAGATCAATTTGCAGTACACAATTTCGAACTTCTCAAAGTGACTGCCATCAGATACGCCATTCGTCATTGGGTTGTCTATCAAAAGATGGCTGAGAATGATGAAGACCAGTCGGCGCCCTTACGAGCTACTTTTACGGCCACCCTGACTGCAGGTCTTAGCTAGAGCCAGTTATGAACGTGGATTTGAGACAGGCGAAGGTTGGCTCATATTGAATGTCCCCTGGAGCAGCCGGACTAGAGACACGGTAGGATGGGAAGTTGTCCGAAACAAAACACCTTGCCCGGCCTCACTGCATGCATGCCTTTTATTTGGTCCGACTCCTCATTATTATGATGGCACAGCCTGGTCACTCTTCAAACAAATCCCAGCTCATGGAAGTCGCCGGATTGGCACGTCGCCTTCACGAAACGCAGCGACATGTGGTAAGAATGGTGACTGAGGGGACTATAAGTGGTGCCACCGCGAAACCAATCACATTATTTTCTTCAGCCTGGCTGTCCAGTCATTCCATTGGCCACCACCCACCAGTGGCCACGAGAGTCGGTCCCAGTAAGCGATGGCTCCCAACAAATTCCGCCCTCGACTCTATAGTGTTCAGGATGCGGTCGACCGTGTCCGTGGAAGCCGCGCTCTTCATGTATCCAGACTGCGTGATACCTCCAAGTGCCGAATCCTGAAATCTCATCCGACACTGTGCTGCGCTGTTTCGAAAATGCCTGTGGTTTCGAGACCCAGCGAGTCCGCAGCTTTTGCCATGCTAGCGATGCCCTCCATTTGACATGCAACCGACGAGAACAGGATGGGCGTGCTACATTGCGATGCCCGACCGACACCACCACTTCGATAAGTGAGTCATGGCAAAGGACGACGACCTGCGTGTATTAGAGAAATCTCCAGTGACGAAGGATAGTACTCTGAACGTTGCCTTGGTCGTATTTACGGATAAGATTGAGTCTGGTTTCTGCTCGGGGTTTTTGCTGTCATGCTCAAGCCAGCAAAGCAAACTACTAGTATTGTCGTCCATGGGTATCAGCAAGGATCATCTCATGAGATTTAGGAGTCTTCCCGTTGACGGAGGGAGGCGATGGCTCAGCTCACAGTATCGGAGCGGGTAAAGGGCCTCGTAAGAATGAATAATCTGATCGCCACCATATCCTAGCAGTCCGCAAACAGTACTGTGGTGTCCTGTGAATTGAGTTTGACCATGGATGGACTCGCCTCGGCCCCGCGCGGTTGTGACAAGCTACCAATGTTGACCGCCCTAGCGTGAGGACAAGCACGTTGAATCGTCGCTCCACAGCCATTTGATGGTATTGATAGACGATTCACAATCTAGTAGAAACTCCAGACCGTCGATCATAGCTCTACTCTGAAGCTTGAGGCGCAAGACCAACGACAGAGGTGATGCACCAAGCTTCCTTTAAAGAAATGGTGTTTGAACCCCCCATTCTCAAAGCCATAATATGTATAATTTTCTGAATTATAATGATGCGTTTCACTGGCTTTGGATATGGGAGGTTCTTCCCCCGAGTGTACGCAAAGCCTTCCAGAACGAGATCGGCGCCTTGTCTACGAAGCCTCCCCATCGCCGCCGATTGTGGCTCAAGAACCTAGATGACATGGTTTGGCATTGCTATCCTGTTCAGACAAATCACACCTGCGACGATAGACAATTCTTACCGGTTGATCACACGTTCCCAAACAACCTGAATGGGTGGTTGACATGCACCACAGATCACATCGCCGCGATATTCGCTATATGTAATGCGAAGCGGCCATCGTCGTTGGGTTTTCATGTAGACTGGGCATCACTCCGACATAATACATCGCACGTGACCGCAGTGATGTTCCGCGGGTTCATCTTTCCAATGATTGGTTTTTAGCTCGTATGTGGTCTAGGGTCTGGTAAGGAGCTGAACTATCGAACGGTCAAATTGACGGGCGATCGCTTCCGTTGAATGACGTTAGCTCGACATGCCACAGCCCAGATGGAATAAGATGACGGTGCTATGAAGAGCTTCCTCTAACCGAGTTCTTGACAGGGCCATATCACATCACAGCAAGTCTGCCAGCGCTCCACGCGGCTCGAGAGGATGATGATGGGTCGGCAATAACATTCCCTCACAGAACGCCTGGCAGGGTCATCCAGGTGAGAGACAGGAGAAGATAGAAATGCTCTCTCAAGCAACACACATATACTCTACGTGAAATCTGTGCGACTGCGTCAAACGACAGGATAGAAGTCGTCATTGCCTATGCCAATCCAACAGCGCATCTGACCTGCATGCTCATGTTGTATACCCTGAATCCGATGGAGCCGGCATCGATCTGGACGGCCGCTCCTAGCCTCCGTCGCACTATAGAATCAGAGAGGGTACACCAGAATGCTATTCACGCTATCAGCGGGCCAAGGGCAGGGTCGCGGACATCTTCCCCTACTGATTCAACGGCCGTAAAGCCTGGACTGTCTGGTGCACTCCATACAGGGAGTGGCGCCAAAAGCGCATCACCTTTGTATTGATGGATCAACCGTACTACTGTCGGCCCCATCCTGGGAAGTTACTGCAGTGTGCCTCGCGTTCGGAGCACTCCAACGCCGAGCTTGGCGCCGCGCGCTGCAGCAGCCACCGCAAGTATGGCTGAGGAACAGCGTCACACATTATCTAGTGCGGGGGCGTTAGGGCTTGTCCATGCTCAGTACACGAAGTCGGGCTCTGGGGGCGTATGATGCGTTGATTTATGGAAGGGCTTCGACCGGGTATTGTTCCTTGCTCGCACCTCAATCTGTGTCGTGGCGTTTGTTTTACCTGAATTGGTAAGCCATCTCCACAAGAGTGCTCGGAGGCTCATCTCAGAAAGCTGCCGCTGGCACGCAAGTACATACACAAACTGCAGACGGACTGCTTAAACTGATGGTCATGAACGGATGCATCACATGTTCTGTAACATAATGCCAAGTGCGTGCTCTGGTCTCGTCGTGCGGAGCAGTTGGCTTCTATCCGTTCTGGTTCTGTTTATCCAAGGGATGATTGCGAAGTCTCACGCCCTGCTTGAATCGTTAAGTCTTTTTTCCGTGCTCTGTTCTGCACTCTGGGCTTTACACAAGACAAATATATTTCGTCCGGTTCTCAGGCGATAGGTCCAGGAAATGAGGGATGACTCGTCGGCAGTTGACGCAATAATACGCGAGTTTACCAATCCCAGTGTCATTTGCAGAGTTCGAGTTACAGAGGTAGGGCGAGATTTGCATGACGTGAAGGTGTCTTGGCTGGGAAGGACATCGCCAGTCGATGGAGTCGAAGGAGCCCAGACATGCGCTGAGGGGAATACTTGCGCTGATCATAGCTACAATGCGAACGCTCAGCTAGCCGGGAAGGGGTCTTATCCGTGGAGGAGCCAAGGCCAGCTCCAAAGTCCGTCGTGGCAGCCACCTTGGAAGGTTAACTTATTCCCTCATTTCTCTTCCACAGTAGGGCGGGTGCAGGTTGCGGGTACAGGCAACGGGACGCTGTTGGCGTGCAATGGAATGGTGCCAGAAAATAGGCCAGCAAAAGGTGTACAGATGGGTCACTAGATTGCTGTACTGCGTCCACGCCACCGCCACTCGGCAAGATGGTCGGGCGTATTGCAGGCCAGGAGGCACGAATGGCGAACCGAGTAGGCAGAACGGGTTGGATTCGGGGCGTCAATTCCAAAGGTCCGTTAGATTGATGCTACACAGACACCGAGGCTGCGCAATGGCCCGGGTTGACAGACAGTTAAGCGGCTAAGGCGGCCTTTTTTGGCGTCAGGATTCGTCCTGACCCTGTAACGTTTTAGTCCAAGCTGTTGTGCATACGTTTTGAGGTGCACGCCCCACCAGCGTCGAATGCACCAAGGCCCATAGAGACAGAGCGTACATTCGGAGACCCTAAGCCGATCTGGATGTCAGGACGTATCCTGTGTCCGAATCTGGCTTAGCCACTATAGCAGAGGGGCGTTTCCAAGCTAGCACGCGCGAGCTAGTATCGACTATCCCCAGTAGGGGGCGTGACAGACAAAGTAATTGCCCGAGTACTGCACAGACTAGGGATCCCTGATAGGGCTAGGCTCTACGGCATGTCAGGACACATCCTGACTCTCGAAGCGGCATAGTCAATTAGGTCAGGACTAATCACTGTGGCGTGGACAGCTCACAGACATGGGTCTCGCACTTCACGGCACGCCCTCTTGCTTACTTTTACTCCCTTGGTCCTCACCCCCTCGTAGAAGTATCAGAAGTATGGAGACAATATTGGCATGGGTTTGATTCGGTGCTTACCCTTATCAGTACTTGGCCTGGTCTTGGTGACCAGTGTATTCAAGCGAAACACCTAAACATATCATATGTCATGTCCTTTGCCTTTCCTTTCCCCCTAAACTTTTTTTCGATGTCAGGACGTGTCCTGACTCCCAAAAAGGAATGGTCCGAAGGACAAAGCATGCACACCACACATAGGAAATTTCTTCGCGCTCTTGACAACCCACCCATTCACAATGGACCAGCATGAATGTTGTTTCAATTCACACCGCGTCCAAAGCATGCACCAGGAAGAGGTGCTTCGCCATCGAATGGACTTTGAACCGTACCGATCACAAACAAATGCTTTGGCCAGATCATCCCTGACGATCCCCTCTTCGATGCCGTTGTTAGAGCAGCTCTCTCTTCCTCCAACCCCTCCTGCCCACATCGACCGAGGGCCGAATCGAAGCCCGACTCTCCCGCTCTCGCGCGTCTGGCACTTGCAGACACCGGACACTGTGAAGAACAGAGCAAAGAACATCGGCCGAACGAAGGATCCACCGCGCCTTCCCAAAAGACAGTATACAAAGTTCTTTCAAAGAGTTCCCGACACCAAAGATGGGTGGCTTGAAGCAAGGGATCGGCTCGGCCTGACGAATCTTGAAGGCATCGCGAAAGCGATCGATGATATCATATGGTTCGGAAACGATTGTGAGCTGCCCTGGATCCTCAAGGACATGAAAGACTACATTGCGCATCGGGCGGGGAAATCGATGAGCATCGGTGGCCCCGACCGAGGCACCCTCCTGTCCAGATACGGCCACGTAGTCTTCTTGGGTGAATGCTGCGTCGCCCGTCAGCTGGGAATAAGTAAGGAATTAATCGACAACGCCGTGGAAAATTTTCTTGACAATACGATATCGTCAGCCAGGTCGTCGAAACGAACCTGCGCGGGTAGGAAGACACAGCAGATGTACGGGAAGGTTCCATCATGGATTACGGGTCAGGAGCAATCGCTGTTTGACCATTGTGGGCATCTTGCATCAGAGATGTTCCTTCATGGTACGTCTATCAATGAGAACCGAGTTTCTGTCAGTGCTGACCAGTTGCTGCTGTTTAGCTGCGATGAGTCTCTCAAACTTTGACAGTCTATCCAGGTCCGGGCCAGACCAGCGGTTTCGGGAAAAGATCATGGCTAAGATCCCATCGGACACGATATCGTCGCCCCAGACCGAGCTTCCCTTCTATTTGCCGTTCATTGTTTGGGCATGTATCCGCCTTCACACAGGCATTGATTGCTACGAGCAACTGGAACCGGCCTTAGGTGCCACCAAGTTTACCGAAGCCGATTTCCAAAAATGGTTTGAAATTTATCAACGGAACACAACAAAGCCTATCACAGGTCGCAAGCGTCACCTAGACGACGTCCAACCTCAGCCGATAAGCAAACAACAGCGGACCGATTCCCAAAGGTCATGCAGGTCACCACCTCATACTGCTGCTTCGGCTCTCTCAGGTGCTCTTGCACAGGAAGGCAGTTCTGCCCCGTCCCTGCTCATCGGCAGCAATGCAAACAAGGGCGCACCTGAGCAAGGGCTACAAAATCATCGATTGCCCCAGATTCCTACTTGCGTTGGTGCTGACCAGTTCACTCCGTCATTCGCGCTGGAGTTTGGCCGCGAAACGACTTTTCATGGATCACAATTAGAAAAGCCTGCCGGCTATGTGTATGATCTGACCGGCCCAGTCGACCAGCCTCCGGCCCAACTCGAGAACATCACAGTCCCATTCACCGGGCCGCGTGACGATATAATCGGCGCAACCATTTCGTCGGAAAGTTTTTGGAGCGGCTTCGATTGGAATCAAATTAGCCGTCTTGAGCCGGCGCATCATGAGGACCGTGTTCGATATATGAGCGGGCACGAGTGAGCCATCAAATTCAATTTTCATCTACCTGCAATCTACGTGCGATGCTTCGTATATCCCCATGTCATGCTTGTACTGCCGTCCTCTTGCGCGTCGCATGCGCTTACGGCGCTCCGCTACTCAGGTTGCCATACTTCTCATACCCGCGATTCTCATTCGCTGCTGGCTGGGATTTCGAAAACATGTCTTTCCATCAGGAAACGACAAGACGGGTCCGTTATAAACAGGGAGCTACCAGCTGGAAGACGAAAAGGTGACTCAGTCTGCCACACGATTTCACGTACTTCCTGTCCAACTCGGTACGATGCCTTTGGCGAAGACGAATCCTGGGAGCGATCTGCGCTCTTTAACGGAATGAATGTGCAAATAGAGTCCTCTGGCACCGTGAACTTTCCAGTGAGTCTGTACGGGCCATACTTGGATGTGCCCACATGCTTTTTGCCCTTGGCCTCGACCATCTTCACGATCTCACGTCCCTACCTCCTGTTAGGATCTTTTACTCAAGACAGTGGAGATATCCATACATGGTTGAGTTTAAAAAGTTGCAATATCTCTCCGTGCACTGAGGTCATGTCCTCTTTTGACAGACCCAAGAATCCAGGTACGGGGTATGCCGTCCCTGGTGTATCGTTTCGGGTCTTGTTTGATAGCTCAGGGTTGGCCGGGTGCACTTTGAACTGGTCCATTTAGGTTGAAAGTCGACACCTTCTCGCGACTAGTGTACCTCGGAAGTCGCATGGCGAGTGGAAAGGCTGTTGGTAATGACAAGATGGTAACACGCGATGCATACCCAAGTTGCCACTTTAGCTTGTTCTTCTTCTTCTCATGTCCCACATGGTTGCTGGGTTGTAGACGATGCACAGTGTGGCTGATCAAGCTCCTATTGGTGCCAGCGCAGCAAGAAAGATGACCGTGCGGGCTGACAAAGCCGCACGCATCGGCAACGGGGAAACACTCGGACCGACAGGCACGTCGCGACAAACGCAACTAAACCCGACGCATTCCTTAAGTTCCTGTTGGCTTAACGGCAAAAGATCTTCGATTGAGTCATAACGGCCTTCGTAAAGCAAGATGTTCTCCTAGCTTGAGTCAGGTTTTTTGCAGTGGATCACGGCGCAACGCTTTAGAAATCCTTATCCGCACCGAGCCGCGAAATGACCCCTACGACGGCGAACGACCGAGCCTCACAATCACCATCGTATACGAACAAACTATGTTAAACAATACTCGAAGGGCGATTTCAGGTGCGCGGAAAATATGTCAAGGGCAATGCGCATGCAATTCATACTCTGTCGTTGGTCTGGATTGGTGGACCTAAGACTTGAAGAAGCAGAGCGGGAGAATCATATATATATTTCACCCCGTCAGTCGACGGTTATATCAAGCAGTAGTGGTCCTAGTGTCTCCTTTTGCCAGCAGTCTGTGCAGCATGTCCTGGTTCATCAACGCGGCCTGCTTGCAGTCTATTTCAAACCTCGAAAGTGTTGCCCTCCTCAAACAAGACGAGCTGTGCTGCTGTCGCTGGAGTCCTAGGTTTTGGCAGCAGACCGAGGTTACGGACAATGTTCGCGATGGGTCCTGTTGACAGTAATCTCTTACTTTTGCAGACCGGCATCATCTACGAGCGCCGCGCGGGCGTAATCTACGGTGCGCCTACCTCGTAGTTGCCCAACACAGCCTTGAGAGAGATGTCGGCAATGCTGGGAGTGGAAGGGTATAGTTGACCAACCTCTTTGCCGACTGGATAGGCGGGAGAGGAGCAAGTCTAACATGTCGGCATCGTAGCCACTATAAGCCAAATGTTGGTTCATCTAGCCTTCACGTCGAATCCGATGTAGCTGTCGTTTGACTAGTAGTAAGACGGTCTTGTCTTTTGAAACGCTTGGTGTGCCTGGGCGGCTAAAGTAAGTACACCCATTGCGATACGGGCACCACACAGGTCACCACTCATGGGCTGGACATCACCGTTGCACACCATTCGGGACGCGGGGCGGACACCAAGGTCGGCTGACTGTACGTTTGGGACAGACTTTCAAGCACAGCGTATCCCACATGATGCATAAATGCCACTGAATAAACTGAGTGCTTAGGTTGGCCTGAAAGGAAAATATCGATTGATGTAAATTCGCTAAATCTTCTTTCTGTTTGCCGTTCCATTTCCTCACGCACAGTTGCAAAAGTCGACAACCTTCCCGACGGCGTCTTTACATTGGCTCGCATCCTGATATCCAGCCTCTGGCCAAGCCGCTGGGTCTTGAACTCTTACACCATACTGGGATTGGTCGGGCTTTGAAATCGGATCAGAGGTATCGAGCCTGGTAGAGCCAGGTCAATCGTTCTGGCTCTATTTGTTCTATAATGGAATTAACAGGTTTTTCGACCTGAATGCCTTCTCAATTACCTGGTACTCTTCCGGAGTTTCAACTACCACGGGTGGCAAAGTGCCTATATCTATAGAAGGACCCGTGGTGGTTGGCTCGTTCGAGGTAGGGCGGTCTGACATGATGCTTTGTACAGCTCTCTGGTGCGCAGGAGCCTGAGTCTTTTTTGCATTTGCGAGAGGAGATTACAAAGTCTGAAGTTGATGGGAAGCTTAATCTGATCAACAATATAGAGTTGTAATTATTCAGACCCTCCGATTCATTCAATGGGGATATTTGTTCGAACTTATATGCTTTCGGGTCCTGCGGACTTTGCAGGAACGTCAACAATACCACGAGCGTAAGGTCACCCGCATATCAAGCTTGGAGTACCTTCTTCTACTGTGGCCAAGTCATTGAGGGCTTGTCAGGTTCAATATCTGGCCCAGCCCTCAGCGCGTGTAGGTAACAACGGAAATTGAGCTGAAGCTCATGCTGAGAGCGACGGCCTGGCTCCTGTACAAGCCGCAACCAATAGTCACAGTCAAGACTGCACGGTGCATTGGGGGAAGTCGATCACCAACGCACCCTTGTAATGCGGCCGTTTATGTAGCCCACGATGTATTTTCCCCGTGGCTCTGGACCGTGGACGAGTAGAAAGGCGCATATCGGATACGCTGATGGCATGGCCGCCGTGCTCGACAAAGCTGGTCGCGACCATGCTGGAGTTGCATCGCATATCCATCTCACTGTATAACGATGAGATGTCAAGACTAACTCACTGTTACTCATTCACATACAACACACAAGGACCCTTCCGGTCTCCGTGTTTAACGATACTCTTAACAGTCATTTCTGCGTGAGAACCTCGTCAGAATACAGCGATGAGTACAAATCTTTCCTACTCAGCTGCCATAGCAATGTCAACGACATCTAGGCGTGCTTCTATCATCCCTCTCCTCGCTCTGAGTACGAGAGGTACAAATGTATCGGCTTGCTTGTATTTTTAGTATGAGGGAACACTTTTCCCGGGCTCTGCGCACTCATAATCTGAGGTATGGCATGACAAATAACAGCAGTGTCATCGCTTCCACGAACAGTATCGCCTGCGATTTCGTGGCTATCTCACGAGATATCCTTGGCATCTACGAGATGTAAGCAAAGTCTCCCTTGTAGACAATTCATCGCCGGGAGCAATGTGAGCGAGATGCCTCAGCCATGAAGAGGAGCCTTGCCCGGTAGTAGGGTGGCCACTGTAGCCTGAGAAAATGCTCAGACGGTCATGTTGTTCCAGTAGCTTATACGGCAGGGCTTCTGCAACAAATTCTCAACTCGACTAGGTGTCTCAAGCGCCCGTTGTATCAGTTCGAGCAAAGCTCCGCGCCGAAGACCCTAGAATTGCGTGGGTAGCCACAGGAAATGGATTGAATTTGAACTCAGAGCAAAATCTCTCCCTAAAGCAATCAGAGGGATGGGGCAATGCTCCCTCCCGAGGGGAGAGCCAAATCTCAAGGTCAAGCCTGACGCCAGACGACTCGAATTCGACTAGTGACCACTGCAAGTGACTAGGACACATGTTGGATACGTAGTGTGTTTTCTTACCAAACAAGGGGCAACAAGAACGAAGCGGGGCTTACATGCAAAGCATGGAGATTTAGCTCATCGGGGAGTGCCCTGAGCAGAACTCCACCCCCATGCAAGTACCGTGCGACTATGACGCAACTTAGGCAGTTGTATATACTATACGTGGTGTGGTGTAGTGTGGATACTTGAGATTTTCTCAAATCCTAATATAGCTAGAATGCAGTTTAGGCAGGTGCTTTGGTAATGGGGAGGCAAGAAGCCGCAGCGCAAGATTGGAACCTGGGAATGTGGCAGGTGACTGGACGCTCTTGCTCTATGCATGAGCTTTTGCTCAGTGCTCCTAGATACAAGGGTGAGGAGGTGGTCGCTGGGAGGAAGATGAGATTTTGCTCAAGAGCCCCCAGGGGCAAAAGCGGGGTTGTTGGAAATAGCGTATCCGTGCGTATTGTGAACTATCGTACACACATCGCCGAACCAGATGGCTCCAGACAGCCCAAGCGGGGTTAGAGGGTCAGCACGTACGAACCATTGGGTGTGACTCTCTTGACTTCTACCGAGCCGGCTCGGAAAAACTGTGATCCCGACAGCTTTAGTGGTCAGTGGCCACTTGTCCCTCACCATGTCTTGTGTCATCGTTAGGTTACGCTTGCTGCATCCCACTTTTCGTGTCGATGCCCAATACTGATCAGTCTCGCCCAGCAGTCACATGCTGGTCATGCCTGAACAGCGACGTTCTCTCTTTATCCAAATCCGAGCTATCGCTATGAAGATCAGATATTCTCACTCGGAGAATTGACAGCTTGACTCGATTCAACCACCATACATTCCGAGCTTCATGTTTGCCTTGCAATCCGACAAAGATGCCTACCGCAGTATGTCTGTCCCTCAGCCTGGAACTTTTCATGAAACGTACACTGACTCATTGATGTTAGACGGAGAACTGGACCTATTCCACGTATGAAATATTCAAGTACGACAAACCAGCCACACTGTCGTGGCGTACACACATTCCCGGCCGAGGCAAAATAGAAATCGATGGTAAAATACTTGGCAAGGAGGAGCTGGATAAGGGCGGGACGAAGGAGGTAGCAGCTGGGACTGAGGTCAAGATATTCGAGCTATTTGTCAAATTTGAGTTGGAAGCGTAAACTCGGGGGTCATACAGTTGAGCATATATTGCCCTTCTTCGTATGGTACACGGAGGCACAGCTGCGTGGCGTGCTTGATATTCACTGTTGCCTGAGATGGTCCGCTAAATATCTCTTCCACAGGAGGGGCGGTTGGGAGTTCCCAGTCAAACACAAACTCCATCTGTTTCCCTGAGATGTGTGCCCGGATGCACGACGTTGTCCTCTCCGTGCCCCACGTCGCAAGCCTCTGAATTCGATCCATGAAGGATTCTGAGAACATGCTAAACATCTTCTCCGTCTTGAACATGTAGGCGAAGGTATAGTCGATATATGTAGGTGTGGCTTGTTGATGTTGAAGATTGATGTCAGTACATGCGATCGAGATACCGGGATTATCGGTATCCGGTGTAAGCGTCTCTCGATCGGAGACGCTAGTTTCCTCTGCGTAACCACGTCTTCTTTTTTGGGAATAATTGTCGCTATGGTTCTGGACCAACACCGTCTCGCTTGGGCCCTCGTCCAGTTCTTTTAGCCCGTTGAGGGAAATGATGGCATTTGCAGTCTCTGGAGAAGCCGTCAGCGAATACTGCTACTGGGTCGTTGGAGGAATACCCTTGAAGTAATCTCCAAGATATTTGGGATCAGGAGAATTTTTCCATTCTTCGAAGCACCTATACCAGTTCACGTGTATCTCCTGCGTATCAAGCAGTCCAACTGCTGCCGACAGTGAAGACTTGTGTTTTACTAGAGCCTCGATTTCGGTCTTCGTGAGATATCTTGTCAGCGCCACGAAAACTGCGATTGGCACGCTTTCCAAGGGAGCATTCCCACTTGTCGAATATCGATATGGGAGCACGTCTGCGCAAACTGTCTTGGTAGTCTGTCCACTTTGTTCACCCTTCTCGTGAGTAGGTCAATGGTCTCTTGCGCTTTCGTAAGGCTTGTCGCTTCTTGCTGTGCTTTTTCAAGCTCGGCTTGCAGCTGCGCGACTCGTTCATCTAATCGCCTGCGTTCGTCTTCGAGATTTTGCTCCATGGCCAGATCGGTTTCGTGATGGAGTGGTGGCTGAAAGAGAGCGAACAGCCGTAGCTGAGGCAAGCTCATGGGTAATCTGCTGACGCGACCCACCCGTGATGACTCAGCGAGAGGCAGAACCCATCTTGCCATTGGTACGTGCTATCTGGGCTTCTGTTGATGCAATCCTGGGGAAAGTTGCAACCTCACTATCCACTTTGGGGTGTGAGGCTGGCCGCTTTCCCTACGAGTACGAAAAGACGAACCATCCCAACACTGCTGCCCATGCATTGAAGACCACGACGGAGAACCGAGTGACATCGCGTGCACCTTACTAGTCGGTAATGTATATGTATTACGCGGGACCTAAGTGTCAAGGTGTAGGTTGACTAACAGCCGTGCTCGTACTTGACATTAAAGTTTGGGTTTCCATTGATTCAAAGACTTGGATATCCACGAGAAATGATCTCCTTGCTCCACGATTGCAGTCGCGAGAGGACGAGGCACGCAGGGGCAGATGGGGGGAAACCCACCAAAAGACAAGGTTAAGTCGGATCGAGATCTGCAGCAACAAGATAGCATGATACTTCCATGCAGGCCATGACTTTTTTGAGACTCTGTTGCGCTGCTCGACGAGTTGAGGTGAACTGCCTTTGTGCTGCCACTCCCTGTATACCGTGGCGTCACAAACGTGAAGCGAGATGCTCCATCTACGGCTGAGCGAGCGAAAATAGCCTCAGAGATCCAGAGGGGTACATAAGAGAACTATGTGTATAATGCACCTCAAGCACCGGGTGTCGCTTCCCCCCCTCTCCCCTTCCTCTCCTACCGAAAGCCGGGTGCTCCCTGCGATACTATCGAACGACTTGGAACGAGCAAGAGTGACAGCCATCGTCCTTGGCGCGCCGTCTCGTCGCCGCTTGGTGGCCGAAAGTCTTGGTTGGATGATGTTGGCTAAGATGACCGATCGTCGTGTCGGAGATTGTGCCCTATGCAGCTCACTATCTGCGGGCTGGGGTCCGGTCTAAGACCCCGGAGGACTGATTACTTTCAAGGTTTATGCAAGGGCCGCCGGCGCTGGTCACTACCCAACCCCAAAAGTCCGTGCCTCGGGTACGGATGGTCGTAGCTCGAACAGGTTGGACACCAGGCGTTATTTTCACGCCCCTGTCGTTAAGCACCCCGTGGCGTCGTCTGAGCAAGAGGTACAGCGCCCTCTTGTTGCGTCAAGCTTGCGACTACCCCCAGGCCCCTACCGAGTCCCTTCCCGCCAGGGACACCAGACGGTACAGGCCGCAACGTCCGGGTCTAGATCAAAGGGGGCGGAAGGACGAGTCAGCGCACTGTCGCCCACTAGCCGAATCAAGATGTCGTTCGCGGACCAATCACATCTGCCACAGCCGACTTCATCACCTCAATACGCAATACACCGGACGGCGCTCGACGCGACGGGGAAGACGGGTTCCGATAGCTGATAGTTAATTTTCGGGACGGGGATGTTGAACGAGCGGGCCGATGGCCGACGGCAGATCTGGCAAGCCGCATCAGGACTGGTTCTGGAGCGTGGTGTTTGCGAACGCCGATAGGTGTCGGCAGTGCACCTTCCTCCGTCAGACGCGAGCTCGCTGGCCTATCATCGGGCATTGGGTTGATCAAACAGGATGGAGCGGACTGCTCAACATGCTTCGATATGTGGTTGTTCGTCACCCAATAGCACCATGCGATACGAGTGACAGTCAGGAGGCGAGCTGCATAAGGCTGAATATTCCTGTTCTCTCCTGTTGCGATCTTGGACTAATTGTGGCATTGGGTTGTGGCAGAGAAGTCTCAATATGCCGTTCAAACAGCGAGTCGACTTCGACTGAAGCAATTTGCGCTGCTCGAGTGCTAGCGGGTTGATGAAGGCGACAATGCGAGAAACAGCTGCACATGGTCGTTCCAGACAGAGCACCCACATTCGTAGCACAAAGAGGCGAGGACTACATGGCGAGCGTTGACAAATAGATAGTCGTCGTTGCGACAGTGAGATGTACATCATGGCTAGCTCTATTATGCCACTGCCGAGTGGGGGTGATCAGGGGTTCTGGTGAAGGCTGTATAAGAGCTGCCGGTATCTCCGCCCTTTCCATAGACGATTCGTGCTCGTGTGTCCACTACGACCGCCCGGAACGCCAGAGTACAATGGAAGAATCAACGGCATACGGTACTGATTCTCCAACAAGCCAACCGTGGCTATTGCTGGCGATCAGCCTGACTTTTGGTATCGGTGGTATCATTGCACTCTTGACCTTGATTGCTCGTTTGGCTATCCGGCATTTCAAGCAGGGGGTGAAGCTTGATGACTGTGAGTAAAACAACAGAGACGATGCACTGCTTGCGCAAGACTAACGGCAGGATAGATATGATGCTGCTGGCTTGGGTGAGTTGAGGGTTAGGGGTCGGCATGTTGCGGGACCGCTGACACCAGGCACTAGGTTTCCTCTGTGATTACCCAGTCCATCCTCGTTGGTAGGTGTTAATCCGCGATGGCGAGACTTGCTAACATCTTAAAAGTGGTGGCAAGCTCGCCTCGCCTGGACTTGATGTATATCGCAGAGGCAGCATGCCTATTGAGCCACGGCTTTGCGCAAATATCCATCGCGTTGCTCTGGCTGCGTATAATCCCCCTCAACTGGCAGATGTACACAGGGTGGGTCATTATTGGGGTCATCGTCATCTACACTCTCGTCATCTTGGGCCTGCTCATCTACAGTGGCTTTGGTGACGGCTCTACCGAGCCCATAGGTCCGATAGATGGCACTGCCCATTCTCCTCAACTGTCCATGGCAGCTACTGTAGCGAGCATCATCGCGGGCTTGATGCTGATTCTCATCCCATCTCTGGATATCTTGGGTACTCAAATGACGCCGACAGAAAAACGCAGGGCAATCCTTCGCTGGTGCAGCCCCGTGATGTATGACCCCCAATGAAGACTTCGAGCAAGCGACTAACACTTTTACAGAGCGATTCTTGCCTCCGCCGTCCGTCTGTTCTTTCTTACCAGTTTTCCAAGCAGTCCAGATCTCACCATGCACGCTGCCGTGGCTATGGTACTCATGTGAGCAACCTTGTGAAGCGTCGTGGTTCAGGCTAACACGACCAAGGTTCGCTGAGGTGAACCTGACCATCATCTGTGGCAATCTGCCAGCGACGCTCCAGACGATCAAGAGGATGAAGAGTAAGGCATCTTCTGAGACCATGGCGGGCTCGGGAAGTGGAAGAGGAGGTAGAACGAGCCATGCACCGAGAGGACTGGACGAATATCCGCTACAGTCACGAGACGAGACCAAGCAACCGTGGACTGGAGATGGCGATGACAGCAGCCAACGAGGGATACTAGCAACACATCTCTCTACAGTTTAGGGCTCATCTAGTGTACCTTCTCGCCTCAGCCATCACGATCGATGAAGAGCGGGTGACCAGAAGAGCGAAGCATCAGTGGCAAATCTTAGCATTCAATAAACATAGTCAAATTGCGTTTTTCTCTTAAGTCAGGTGTCCAGCTACATTGGATAGCCCAGTCCGACACATATCGCACAGCCAGAAGCGCCCGCAAACTAGAATCAATGCGGACCATTGCTCAAAGAATTCCATGCTCAGATAGGGCGGGAAATGTGATTGTCTGTATTGCCGAGAGTCGGCGGCGTCTTGCACTGAACTCTCGCCGGCAGGCCGACAAAAGAAGGCGTATATTGACGTCTGCCAACCGAGTTTTCTCTCTCCGTGTGTACATATCTCTCCCGCTGATCGTGTGCGATTCCAGAAAACCGGTTATCTCCGACGGGACGTTTATTCAGGACCCTCGCTCTAGGCCGGCGACAAGCTGGCTTCGTGACAGAGCGGACGGGACTGACATTCCCGCCCAGAAGGGGCAATGGGACCGTTGCGAGGAAACACCCGAAAGCATCATCGCCCGACCCTGTCATTAGTGAACAGACGGGGAACGCTTCCTGACACATCGAGGAAGGACATCGGCGCCATTGTACCACCTTCAAAGGGTTGTGCCTTATCGAAGAGGAAGCAGGATACCATCCCGAGACCAAACCTGCTAGGTCTCTGCTAATCCTCTTCCGGAACACAGTAGGCGAGCATCATGTACTTGATGATGCCTTTCACGGAGCTCTGTGATAGGGAAGGGAGACAGGGGGAAGTAAAGCATTGTGCTTCATTCTGAAATGGTTAGCAAGTTGTCGGTGGAAGGTTGAGCAATTTATGCCGATCTTCGGGGGAGGCGGGACGCCGTACGTAGCCCGCGGAATCGGCCCATCTTTCGTACTGATGCCCTTCTCGAGAACCACAAGTGGACGCATGTGAGACAACCTGATAGACTACCCCCGCGGGTTCGGATACGAGATCACCCTAAGGAGTCTGCCAGGTTTGCGTCGTCTTGGAAAGGCTAGGGTACGTAATGCGACCCCTCTTCATTGCGCTCGGGAGATGGGACCTCTCTCCCTAGATAGGACCGAGAGACAAAACCTTATAGTTCTGCGAGGGCCTCAGCACTGCACCGGTACGTATGGCGCTCCTCCTGTCAGATTTCCAAACGCCCACCTTTACTCAACCAGAGTTAGATTACGCACAGAAAACACTTCTAAAATCGAGCCATTACCATCTATTCATTCACTTTTGAAGCAGCAATTAACGCCGTCAACCGAGAAGCATTCGAAGCTATCGATCATCAATGGGCAACGGAGAGTAACACCGCAGGTATTCTGGCCATTGTCACGATATCCCATGTGCTAGCACTCGTGGTCGCCGGCTTGCGGATATATGCTAGAGTTCTGGTAGTCAAACAGCGTGAATGAGATGATCTCTTGATCGTTGTCTCTGTAATAGGCCTGTCCCCCTCGGATGCGCCCAGTGATGGTACTGACGCGCGCCTGTACTAGCTCTGTGCTTTAGGAGGTTGGATTATGTTCGTCATCCAGGCCAACTACGACCTTGGAAATCATGACAAAACGATCGCAGACCATGACTATCTGATGTTTCAGAAGGTCGGGTTCTGGCAGTCGATCATCTCGGCTGGCTTGGCCTTCATGTGGCTCAAGATTTCCGTCGCTTTCAACCTCCTGTGCCTGAGCAGGGACATGAGGCATCGAAACTGGTACAAATGGACTTTGTGGGTCATGATCGGTAAGTCTGCCGAGGTGGCTGGACGCTAGTTGTATGTTGATGAGACGACGGATCAGCTAGGAAGACTAGGTATCACCGCTGTCTATCACGTCGGTGGCACACTTCCCTTCTTCCTCAGGTGCAGTCCGATGGGAGGCTCTTGGAACGAGAATCTCGAGCCCACGCCCCAATGCATGAGTACCAAGAACTTCATCGCATTCGGCAATGTCAACACCGGTACGTCAAGATCTCGGAAGGAACGGCTGACGTGACATCGTCTGACAAACCGCCAGCCTTCAACATAAGCACCGACGTCGTCTTTGCCACACTGCCAATAACACTTGTCTGGAGCCTTCAAATGAAGCAAAGGTCTCGACTTGACGTGATCGGGATCTTGAGTCTTGGTTACATGTAGCTGTACACTGCGGGGCAGCCCTCTGAGCCGTACTGAAAGCTTCCCCAGCGCTGTGATCATGGGCATCATCAAATCGAAAGACCTGCTCACATTGGAAGTGGACAGGAACAAGATATTCGACCAAAACATACAAGTCTTGGGGTTGTAAGTCGGCCAAGCCCTCTTTGAAATCCAACCGTGCTCACGCATCCAGTGTAAAATTGCAACTCGGCATCATCGCGGCTTGTGCCCCTGCATTGTAACCGTTGGCCAGTAAGATGCTCCATTTGTCCTCTCATGGCGACACTTCGAATCATGGGTATGATGAATCATCGTTTCAGACTCAAAGAAAACAGAGAGGTCATCCCCGCACGTTATACATCTCGTACATGGTTTCTTCCCGGTCCAATAAAGACGCATGCCAAGGGTTGCTGAGACTAAAGTCGGGACCTCTATGCATCTTTCTGGGCGTCTGATGATGCTTGAATTTAGAGCAACGTGCTTTCGACTCTACTTGTCATTGGTTTTGATATGATGCTATGGACCATTGAAACACGATATCATGAGGAAGTCGAACCTGAAGGATCTGCATCGAATAGCCGGTTGTATCATGGGTACACGCTTTCATCAACGAGTGTAGCGTTCGGAAGCGAATGCACACATGAGTATTTACCCTGCCCATCGCTACGCCTCACTTCGGGGACCAGCTAGGAGCCTGGGCAGCAGAAACTGGTCGTTGTACACCTACTGTATCGCCGTGAACTGCCCAGACAGCGTTATCATAGTATGTGCTTCTGCGACCTTGAAGTCCGTACTGGTTCGTTATGTAGCCACTATCGGCCTCAGAGCTAGAACACGTAAGGGTATGGCACCGTGATGGCATGATCAAACCAGGCGTGGAATGTGACTTTCTCACCACGCATCTGTGAGATGGTGCCAACACATGACAGTTTCTCGAGTGACCGTCAGACATGGCTCTGTGCTTTGAAAGCTTTGAAGCTAGCGGGGCGGGCGACGAAGACGCGAAAGTATTCCTCGCCAATATGGTCGAAAGGTCGACAGAAGGGGTGGCGGGAAGAGAGTCAGTTGTTGGGGTCGCGGTTGGCAAGATAATGCCACCTGAGAAGATAGGGCTGGGAGATGACCTCAACGTGTACGTGAGACCACTCCCATTTGGAGAAATTGGCAGCCTCTTTCTCGTCAAGATCAATCGCACCCAGGTTCCTCAGGGTGGGCTCGAAGGCTATGAGAAGCCTTTCGCGCGGATGACGGTTTAACCTATCGGCGTTCTGGACCGAAGCCTCAACGCCCTCGTCGGTTCGAATGATGCGAACCCCCATGACAGTGAGGAAGACGTCGCCACCTAGGGACCTGGCCATGGCGTCGTAGAGATCCTGCTTCCGTTGAGAGACGGGAACAAAAGAAGAGACCTTTCCCAAAGAGAGCGAGTCAGGTCTACGCCGAAAGCCTGCACCACGTACAAGATCGTCTGGTTGGTGAGATTGCTTATGCCAAGATCGGTGACCTGAAAGATACGCGGGACCGCGGCGTCGAAACTTTACTCCTCGACAAAATATGAAAAGAAAAGCGTGAGTCCTTTGGGATTTCAGAAGTGGTGTCCGGAAAGCTGGTGTACGCGGGACTAGTCGTGGGTTCGTACATTTCGCAAATTTCGAGTTGCTTCTCACGAGCGGGAGCAATCTCCATCGAGACGGGTAGTGAAGTGTTCGTAATGTGACCGGTATTGGAATTGGCGTATGTAGAGTTTAGGGATAGGCGAGCCAGGCTCTGAACGGGCACATTGAGACACGTCAAGACCTCGAGGGCCGCGCCTTACTCGGCGTACGTTGACTCCACAGTCGTACACTTTGCGAGTTTAAGGGTCGGTGAATGAATCGATGTGGCCACCCTATGTGTGTCAGTCAGTGACGCATCCTACAATCGATGCGCTGTAGTACATACAAGACGACCGATTCTCTCGACAAGGGCAACGGTCTTGTTGTTGTCGCGGATCTGGATGGATTAGAAAGACGAAGAAGAGCGCAGACATGATGGTAGTTGAGAAACAGCGAGAGAAGGTTGATAATGCAAGGGATCGGGACCAGGAGCATGGGAGGGTTTCTCACGATCTGATCTAACCCAAATACGGCAGGCCGTCCATGGAGTTTGAGAATGTCAGGATTTTGTGGTCTCGGCATTTCTCCGTTTCGGCCAAGGCCAGGAGCAGCTCGGTATGGGAGTCAGTCCGGGAGATGTCGGTAATGACTGTGACGGAATCAACAATTGGTCTTTCGCAAAGCAGGGGCGACGCCGTTGTTGCCTGCTCAGTCCCCCCGTTGGCTGGATATTGCAAGAATCAATACCTAGCCCGCGATGTGATTTCGTGTCCGACGCCCCAGCGAGGGCCCGACAGGGCGAAAGACGGCCTGTGAATGGATCGATTACGAAGGCATTCAGTTGAGGATGGGCGCCGTACTCCGCGAGAGGTGAAGACCGCCGACCAGTGTGGATTATCGAGAGAGTATCCCCTAATGTTTGCGCGATGCCAGGTTGGTTGCTTGGCGGGGCTGACCAACCGCGGAATAGCCGATAACTCGAGACTGAGTGGCTGCCAGTCAACTGATTGGGCGGCAAATATGTCTTCTCGAGCTGACAGACAACGATAGATACCTTGCGCGTTGGCCCGGGTGATAGAACTCTATTCATGCGCATCGTACTCAGTAGGATGGGGGTGTCGGGTGGGGTATGACATATGCGGCAGCCTACCTTCTCATGAAAGGGCTGCGCGAGTCCACTCCAAACCAACAGTGAACGCTGTTTTTGCCAGGGAACAGGGATGCCTGTCGTTAGGCTGAGGATGCGGTTTCAAGGTCCTTGAGCCGTAAACGGGCCAGGTACAGAGAAAAGCACATGATATTGAGCCTGGAAGCAGGGCGCTGCCGCTCCGCTTCCCGATAGCGCATCTCGTCAATCTGATCATGGCTTCCCTCTACCTATGCGATATAAGGCTTTCACTGCTACAAGGCAGTGCCCGTGGGCTTGTGAGACCGGGGCTGACAGCCCAAAGCCTCTCTGCCTGGTAGGCAAGCAATCCTTCCTCCTGCACGCTGCTTGACTATATTGGTTCTGTGAGGAGTCGTTGATTCGAGTATTCGTGTACCAAATTTTGTCATTGGCTTGAGAAAAATCATCAATCGCTAAGAACGTTGACACATTCACTCAAACATCTAATTGTATAACAAGCACATGTCGACACCAATTCTGCAAGAGCTTCGTCCGTACATACCATCCATACTTTCTTCATCGTCGTCCTTCTTTGTCCTCTACTTCACCCTGTCTCCCTAGCAGGTTTGCCAAGATTCTTCCGCACTTACACCCAGATCCCGGGCAGCGAGCCGTCTATAAGCTGCTCCTGGCTAACCCGCCAGCGTCAAAGTGGTCCATACCTCAGAACGCTACCGTGGGAGTCCAACTTCTCGGTCAGATCTGAGGCTCGCCATTCTTCCGGTTATATCAGACTCAACCCGTCCCACTCAGAAGCCTTTCTCTTAATCTCCAACTCACGAGGATCCTCGCCTTTTTCTCCCTTACTGTTGGTATCACCTCTATCACAGGTGATTGGTTCGAACCAATGGATTCGGGGGGTGACGAAGGGTCAATTCTCTGTATTGACTGATTCTGCGTGACATGTAAAAGGGAGGTTCCAACCGTAGGCTGGGTGGGCAATCGGAATCTATTCAGGGGTCGTAGTTGGCAGATAGCAGAGGCTTCCAACCAACGCCAGCTCATCCATCACTCATAGCGGTGCCGATGTACCCTGAACGTCCGTGGATGAATGTCGCCCACCTTTCCGATTTGGCATCCATTCACAGGGTCTCCTCACCCTCTATCCAAGCCGATGGCGAGCTGAGCATGTGGCAAAGCGTACAATCCATGTATCCCAGTCCGAGAAGGGCAATCAAGCCGTTGAGAGTAGCTGCCCAAGAGCAACTCCAACTGAGTCTGTGCCAAGCACACCGCCGTTAAAGGTATAAGAACTCCGAGCTGAATGATGCCAGCTAGGTTGACGCAGATACCCCGATTGTAATGTAAGGCGCAGCGACAGCGTCCAAGGCTCTCATTTAAGCAGACTGTTGCCCCTTTCTCTAACGTGTCGTCCTTCTTCTCTTTGACTCTTTCTCCCTTTGACTCTCAATTCCCAATCTTAATGCACTCATATCCTCGTTTTCTTGTTGCAAATCGAAGAAAAGAAATCTCGCTATGCGGTACGCCGGATATACTACATCGATTCCCCCAGTCGGTCAGTTGCGAAAGCAACTCGATTATGGCGACCGCAAGACGTCTGAATACGAAACATTCGTTGATAGTGTTCGGGTTTTCCGCAAAACTTCAGTGATCGAAGGTTGCGAAGGCAGCCAAATTAATTCACGAATGGAAAGATGAAAAACAGCGAGACGCTCTTGGAAGATGACGCTATCATATCTCGATGATCATGGCAATGGACAGAAGTTCTGGCCTGACGACAACACCAAAATTGGAACCCAAAAACTGCAGTATTCTACTCATGAAAAGGGGTGAGTTATTCAAACTATCTCTGAGCTAGGATCGAAGCTGACAGGCTCGTAGAATCAAGGAGAAGATGCATCAACTTTTCTGGCGGTTGAATTTACAACAGTATCGAAATGAGAAGTACAAAAAAAAGAAAAAGAGCGCGAGACTCGTCAGCACGGGAGATGAGAATGGCCTTAGCCACGAAGATCCATTTGACGTGAATGCCCTCGAGGACAGGTTTCGCGATGCCAGTTTCGCGGAAATGCCCAGTATCTCAAGGTTTGTGATCATTTGCCTAACTTTATCATATATCTCAAGGCTGATATTGTTGGTATCCCTATCACAGGGATTGGTTCGAACCGTGGGTGACGAAGAGGTCAAAATCGATATATATTTAACTTCTGCGTAAGGTGTAAAAGGGAGGTTCCAACCGTAGGTTGGGCAGACCGTGGATCTCGTAAGTACGGTCTGTAAGTGGCCCCTGCGCGGGCCCCTTGCCTCGAGGTCGAATTGGACTTCCAATCCGACAGATATGCTACAGCTCAATCACATCTCACGAATTAGCCACCCACCGAAAGGATATAGATTCGAGCCTCATCGATCCTGAATTGTTGAACGCTCAACAAAACTGGCCGAACGAATGTGGAGTCAGTGTCCAGCCACTGGCGTGTCCAGAGATTCCCTTGTGTGATACTTCCGTAAGAAACTGCGAATCAACATCAGCCTTCGTTACCTTGAAGTACCCTTTCTGACTCTCTTCGTCCCTAGCAGGATCAATGTATCTTTGCAAGCATGTTAACGGCTGTTCCAAGCGACGATCGCCGTGTGGCACCCTTCGCGGACATGGACCCTCCTCCCAAGCGAGCTAGGCTTGATACCGTCAAATGTTCACGAGCGGTGCGGCAACCATCAGGTGATGCGTCATCCGAGGAAACCTCAGCGTTTGTGGACGGCAGCTCGGGACCGCCAGCGACTTCCCTTTCGTTGATTACCAGAGTTGAGACGCACGCATCTCAAGTTGTACAAGGACCAAGGGATAATGGCACATCAGCACCAGTACAGCCAACCAGGGCAATATCTGACGTGCCGCACTCAACCGTCTCTGCTGCTTAACAACCCGAAAAAATCGCCTCATCCGTAGGTGTCAAAGACACAGAGGTCAGCATCCAAGAGCCAGCTATCACCAGCCAAACTCCTCGCACTGATACAGTACGACGACCGCCAGTGAACTTGACGTACTACGTGATGACTTGGCGCCCCGAAGTTCACTGCTACACTTGGAAGCCACGTGGAGGCCTCCGGGGCAAGACACTCGCCGAGCTAATAGCGGAGTTGCGAGAATTGCCGATTCAGATCGAGTGGTCTAAGCTTCGATGCCTACTAATACGGCTGGAGACACACAAGAGCGCTGTGCATGTGGAAGTGCCTCATGAGGAAGAGGCGAGATGTGAGTCCCTGAAAAAACATCTTGACAGGTTCTTGAGGGCCTGCATTGCAAATGCCCCTCATGAAGAGGTGTTCGTCTCCATCAACATTGAGCTGATGACAACCTTGGACTCTTTGACAAGGTCGGCGAAATTGGAGGATATTGATCTAGACTGGTAGGCAGCCTTGCTAGAAATAGGGATTCTTCGGCGGATTCAACAAAATCAACAATTCGAACGTTTAATTTTCTTGTTATCTTTCGCCAATATTCCGAAATAAGAAGATGGAACGGGGCCCTACAGAGACCGCACAAGGTAGCTATTTGGGCGTCAAATTCTTTCACAACCCGGCGCGCCTAAGACATGAAGTTTGTATTTGACGTCGAGAAGTCAGCGTTCATTGGCTAGTGGTCAACGCCACGGCTCCATGTGGCTCAGTGGCGCCACCCCACGACGATTGGGACTGTGTGTCGTGCGGGATTACGTTGCGACAGGGGTAAGCCGAGTCTCCATCTATGCAGTATTCTCGGACCAAATTGACGGCAAGGCACCCTTCGCAGGTAAGATCGCTAGGAAACTGTCTTGCAAGTCTCCACCCTGTGCCGACTTCCTAAACCCCCTGATTGCGTAGCAGTTGTGGCGCGTTGTATCTAACACTACACGATAAGATACATATCACTAAACGAGGGTGGGGCGACACTTTCCCCATTGCGAGGGGATGCTGAGCATGAAGTACATACAGGGCGGTATTGCTTCGCGCTTCTTGGCAAAGTTTCCTCTAGCAGACAATCACATTGTCTTGACCTACCAAGAGTTGTCTGCGAGCGGCAGGCTTCTGCTCCCTGCCTTCATCTTCAAACAAGAGCGATATATGAATATTCGCCTGCGATGTGGGTCTGTGCATCTGCTTTCGGGGAAACCTCGGATAACTGTGAGTCATGGTTGCCAGGCGTTACCCCACCAACTCCCCTCCGTGTCATCGGATCACCAACGTTGACTTGTAGTCTTCAGACGCCAACTGAGAACATATCTCTCGTTCACTAAAAATCTTCCACATGAACCAATGGACAGCACATCTCAATGCGTAGTCGAACGCTGGCTTCTGGATCTCCCCCACTTTAACGAGAACGCCGTCGCCAGCCCTCATATTCCCCGAAAACGCTCTCGAACGGCTGACAATTGTATACTAACACCGCCAGCCTCCCTCTCTCGGCCCTTTGCGATGGACGACGACGCGATTGAGAAGCCACACACACCATCCCCGAGCAAAAAACGACGAGTACCCACCGACACTGACGACACCCCTCGAGCACCTGTCCGATCTTCTGATTCCGTTTCACAATCCCCTAGTACCGCAAGCACCTCGTCTAGACGGTTCCGCGATAATGCATCTCCTACGAAGCAGCTCGGTCGCCTCGAGATCCACAACCCTCTTCGCCTGTTCTTCTGCGACTTTGCCGACCGGGAAACAATAAGCAGGATTCCGCCCAGTCTGCAAGAGACCCGTCGGCAACTAGCGCTTTTCTCACGAGATCAAAGGATCATTCCAACAATGCATCGCGTACGTCGCGTTCTTTCGTCGGATTCTCGCTAGCAACGCTGACCACAGTGAACTAGGAGGCGGCCGACCCGCTCTTGCAAGATGTCCTCGTTCCCCTCGATGACAAAGCTTACTACAGCAACAGTGAGCCTCGGCGATATGGTGAGGTGGTATCCGTCAACAAGATTCAGAACATTGTCAGCAATACCTCGCGCTGTATCAAGCAACAAGCTGCTGAGGCCGTTTGGAATACCGAAGTTCATCACCAAACACTCCGTCACGCTCTGCGAAAGGACGGCGATCGTATGGGTGATGATCTCGTCGATTTCTCCTCCTGGTACGCTTTCCTTTTCTCCTTCTGGAAGTGTAGGCGGCTAATTGAATGCCATATTGCGTCCAGCACTTCCGCTGGCATTCATCGGCAACTACTGGATAAGCGAGTACAGGCCAAGATGGTGGACTTTTGCATCTGCATCCATCCCGACGCCGAGGCAGACACGGGAATCAACACCGCGATCAAACAACTGCGTGATGCATCCCCGTCCGAATCTGTCAACCATACAGACTACTCCGTCTTTCGAAACTACCCCATTGCGCTGAGTATCGAGTCTAAGATTCAAGATGGCAGTGAAGGGGCGGCAACATTGCAGATTGGAACCTGGCATGCTGCGCACTGGAAATATCTTTCTCAGCACGCCCACAAAGAGGCCCTGAACCGCCTTGAATTTTTGCCTGGATTGATTGTTCAGGGTGCTCGTTGGTATTTCCTTGGCTCGACGAGTAGCGACGGTGACACAGTAAGCTTTCAAACCCGGCAGGCCAAGAGGCATTTAGGATAGGCGGCTAATGGCATACGCCCTTTAGACCGTGTGGTCGACTCAGCTTATCGGCGAGACGAACTCGGAGATTGGCGCGTTTCGAGTTATCCGCGCGATCCAGTATCTAGCCTGGTGGTGTGCGGAAGTATATTGGCCATGGTTTCGGGCGAATGTACTCAATTTGGGAGATGACGGCATGCGTGCAGATCCGTCTTGCTGAGCGTCATGTCTTGCTTATTTGTATTTGGCTTGGAAAGGTATTATGCGTTGTCGGAAAACATTACCAACAAATTCCGGCAGGAAACTAGGGGTTTAGGAAGGAAGCTTTTATGTCTTTCGACGTTGATGACGAAAAATTGTTTGCGGCCTATCTTGCAGGATGCGCAAGCAGGAAACGATGTAACTTGTACTTCGTGGTCGGGGGAGTTTGGAGCCCAGAGGTAAGTAGGTTGCTAACCGCGATCTTGATCTCGTTCCGCGCCGAACGGTGAATATTGAAGAGGTTGTGGAGGCTGTGGTAAAGCTCGCCGTTGCAATAGAAGTATTCGTTCACATGCGCAACGACGTCTACCTAGCAAGGCCCGGCCATGACGATAGCAGATACACGCGTATCTCTCGTCTCAGTGGAGTACGGAGCGTGATTTCTGGTTTCAGATCAGAGTCTGTCCGCTAGGGGGTTTGGTGAGCGCATCATCGGTCTGCGCCTCGCTTGTGTAGGTCACCCCTCGTGCAATGATGAGATATCATTACTGGTCGTGGTTTGTACTTGATCGCGCACAGTAGCGTTAGTGGGAGAGCAACCGACGGTTGTGTAGTGGTCAGATACAGTTAGTGTGCGGCTTGGGAGTCAAAAGCTCAGGTGCAGTGAGAATTGCAATATGGGTGGAAGTTTCGCTCGCAGTGTTTATGGCTTCCGTGTCATCCATGGACCCTTAGGTCACTGATGGATTAGAAAAAAAAAATGGCAGCATGAGAGCGAAACGAATATTATTTATGAGCAAGTCTACATTGTGTCATCATCTCCCCTTGAGTACATTGTTGGTCTACACCTGTTTAATAGTCTCCAGCACAACTCTTTGCATGACTCAAGTGGGGTCGTTTCCGGGGTCGCAGCGACGTCTGGTGTTGAAGTTCCGGAGTGTAGCTTGTCGTAGTCAGTTGAGTCGACACTATTCTTGTCCGACTTTTCCGGCTTTTCCGATTTTGAGTCTTCATTCGTCTCATCTCTGTCGCCTTTGAGCTCTTTGGTCGCTTCTTCCGTTATCTCAATCGCGGATGAAATGACATCAGGCTTCGCAGCTTCTGCGCTATCAGACTCAAGCTTTTCGCGCTCCCCACCGGCGTTCACCTGGACGTTGTCGATATCGCCCTCTCCCTTCTTGCCCATACCACCCTTTCTCCACCCTCCATAACGACAAGGACTTCAAGGTCCTCGTCCATGGAGTAAACGCGAACTCCCACAATGCAGACGGCGTTCCAGGGATCAGGCAGACCCTCTTCCTCTGATTCGTAACGCTCGTCGTGTCTTGTAGGCGGTCCTGCAGGAGTGAGGCGTGGCTTTCTGACCATGTCATCATCACCCTACAACTCCTCCCAGTCTTCGATGGGGGAGTCGGATGAATCGCCATCTGAGTCGTAAGACTCCTGCGCTGGTGGCGCGGGAGTGGGGGCAGGGGTAGGAGTAGGGGCGGATTTGTCCGCAGGCTTATCATCGGTGGCGTCCTTCTTGTCTTCGTCCTTAGACTCTTCCTCGGGCTGTTCCCTGGATTGTTCCTTGGGCTCTTCCTTGGACTCATTTGTGCCACCTGACTTAGAGTCGCCTGCAGCAACGTCCTTGGACTCCTGCTCGGTCACGTCCGTCTGGACGGCATGGTCCTTGGGCTTCTCTGCATCCTTCTTCTTCGCCTCTGCTTCTTTCGAGATCTTCGCTTCTTGAGCCTTCTTAGCAAGCTTGCGGTCGCGCTTCTCGTTGTTCTTTTTGGTCTGCTTCCTGGTGACTTCGCGGTTGGTGTGACGTCTCTCCCAGAGCTTACGGCGTTCCTTCTGGCGAGACTCGGAAGCTCTTTGCTGCTCCTTGATCTTTCGAAGCCTGGCGACCTCTTGGAGATGGGCAGTGCCCTTGCTATGCGCCAAGTCGTACGCGGCACCAATTTGCGCCAGCTTGTCGTTCTCGACGCGGTTCTTGCACTCGCGCTTAACCACATCTTCGACAGAGGAGATATTGGTGTCTCTCTCACCTGTGACACTCATGAAGATGCTACACTCCCCGGCTGGCATGTCGAGCAACTCGATGGAGACGGAGCTTTCTGTGACTCGATTGTCAATAACATAGTCGGATGGAATTTTGCGTTATTACACTCTGTGTGGCCGACCTCGTCACTGCTGTCGGGCGCGAAAGCGTGAAGTCAGGCGACGTGGTGCTGTCTATTGGTGGCAGACGGCGTCTCGCCTCCACTGCCAACCCCGCTCCTTAAGCAGATACTTCCCTTTACCAATTGGCTCTTTTGCAATCCACCGCAGCATTGCAACATCTGTTCGTAGTAACCACGTACGACGATCCGTAGTTTTATGCAGCGACTCCAACAGGGAAGCTCCTCATCGTCAACGTCCCTTCCCAGTACTGTACGCCTCTTACGCCTTGAAAGATTCCCTGTACACTGAACCGCCAGCGCGACGTACAATCAGTGGCGATCAATGCGCGTCCAATCAGAATACAAACGATTCACCTGTGTATTGAATCACAAACTAACAGACGAGTGCCCCGAGTAAACGAGCCGACTAGAGATGGGCTTCCGGTGTACTCGGATGGGGAAGGGAAGTGAATTGAGCTTCTTACGGCACAACAACACCGACTAGGGCAACGGGCAGTTGTGACACATACGCCAGCTGGTCTGTGTAATGATTTCATCATCGCCATGCTTGAACGAGCAAAATGCCAATGGGTCTCGTCCGAGACAGAAGTCAAGTAGTGCAGCCGCGGCCGCCCACTGATTTCAAAGAGGCTCACAGCTTCAAAAGGCTCACAAACAATAGCTTCCGCCTTTTCGCCATGGCATCGCCAGTAGGGAAGCTAGGCACATCATCTGACGTGAACATCAGTCTAAGCATGTTCTGAATCAGTCAAGCGATGTCAAATCGCCTCGAATGCCAACCGCAGCTTGGAACGTGTGGCTCTTGATCAGATAACGAGTGGACTCAACAACGCCGTCCGTTAACTTGAGTTTTCCGATAAGACTCGCTGGGCAGCCAGACTCCCGTCATCAGAAGCCAGGCTGTCGCTTCTTACAGCACGAAGTGATGCGATGAGGTAGCAACCATGCAATTTATTCAAGCAAATTCCAACTTACGACTTCCCCGAGTTTTGGCGTAAGACGGCAACTCAAACAATGCCGTCAAAGCTGCTTTCATGTTCATTGAGGTTTTTTCCGGTACTATGGATGCCCTACTGTACCAATGACATGCCGAATCACGACCTGATTTGCCTGGCACGGATCTCGGAGCGGTGGCTGTCACCCTGGCGGTGCTGTGATGTCTGGGCGTCTGTGAATCTGGTCAAGATTCGCTTATTATACTTAGCCATGTGAGTTCCTTGCAGATCGGTTCATTTCGCTAAACCAGGTCTTGAATTCGCTTGCCGAGACTCTTGGCCCAAATGACACGTCGTCTGGTACGCGACAATTAAGGCTCTGAATCCCTTCTAACCTCTGCACTGGCTACGCAAGGCAGCGACACGTTCTATTCACCGCGTATCAACCGGCTGATTTGAAGAGATGGAGGGGGACACTCTCGTGAGCGTCTAGCTATCAACTATCGACGACGCGCAGCTTTTAGTCTGTTCTCGGGACGACTGCCGTATTGCTCTATCGCCGACTCCGAGCGGTGTGACCGAGCACCTACGCTCGCGACATCAGATACCGGCAGAGAGGCGCAAACAGGTGACTTACACACTACGGCGTTCAGATCTGCGCCTCAAGGAGCCCACTTCTGTTGAACCACGACCCGACGGCGTTCTCATTGATAGCCGGCTCCGGTGTAACGATGGATTTCTTTGCGATCTCTGCCCGTTCCGCACCATCAGCAAGCCGATGATCGCGCGGCATCTCAATAGAGAGCACTTTCGGGCGACTACTGTGAGGTGGGCAAGGAGTCACGCTACAACTGCCTCGTCGTCCATGCCGGTATACTTACAGGCCTGGGTTCGTAACCCGCCCCGGTCGCAATACTGGACTTGTTTTTCGGGCCGATGCTGCCACGACGTCCTGGCCCGCGAAGAGGCGTTCCGTCAGCGGATCAGCCGTACCACGGGAAGGAGCCTTGCTCTGCTGCGCAGGACGCGTCTTCCAATAACACAGCAGCGGCATACACGGAACTTCGATCCTGGCTAGAGCGGACGGGATGGGAACGGGTGTATGCCAACGTGGACCGTCGGCTTCTCTACTCGCTGACTCTACGGCCAGTAGAGCGTTCGTATCGCCCTCTTCTTCTGTCGGCAGGCATGTCGCAGCTTGATAACGATATCGTTAGCCCTGCTGATGACGAGGCCAAGATTGCAGCGTTCTGCCACGCGGCGTACAATGCCATCAGTCGATGCGAAGAAACGGCTAGAACGTCCAGCAGAAACTCACTCTGCTGGCTACGTAGTGTGCACCCAAACAACTGCTTCCCGAAGCCGCTCACGCCTGTGGCAAGGAATAATACTCGAGCACGTGACATTTCCGTGCTCCAAAGGTTTGTGTCGCTGATCTGCCGGGCTTATCGATCGTCAACAAATCTCCGACGAGATGTAGCTGGCGTGTCCCTCACGGAAGAGCACTGGGTTGCCTGTGGGAAGGTCTGGAACCACCCTTGTCTGAACATGAAAACTCCTCAACGCGGGGAATGAGAGAGTCTGAACACAGGTATCTCCGCAGACTGCGCATGCGAAGATACGGGGGAAGTCAGCGACAGGGATGGTTGGGAAGAGGATGACAGCGATCTTGACGACCAGCAATCACTAGCCAGCAGCAATGACGACAAGGGTTCTCAGTTCGGCGATCCTGAAGAGTCTTTTTCCGGCGACAGCAGTCAGAACGAATGCGATACCAGTATCAACACGCAATATCCAGGGAAACCGGAAGCCGAGGGAGTAGAGGCCGCGGGCTCAGGTAGCCTAGACGAACTTCTTTTCGAGCTGATCATGCAATTTTGCACACAAGAGAGTCAAGACGGGGATCCTAGTCAGACCTTACTGGTTTACTTCTCTAGAATTCTGGGATTTACGAAGGACTTCCAGAGCTTCCAACTGCCCAGAAACTATACCAGCCATCTCGCTGCGCTCACCTACATTCAACGCCTTCTGTTTCTTGATTATGCACTTCCGAAGAGGGGGTATGCCGAGATGGGCAAACCAGAGCGGAGCAGACAAGGTAGTCTTGCTAGGCTTCGGGACGTGAGGCACAGGTTTACTGTCCTTGGTGCAGAGTCCCCATTCGAGGAGATGTTCTCCCTGCTCTGCTTCGGCAGGAAGATAGCCGCTAACAGCACTCCACCCATCGTTCTCCACTGGAGCGATGACGAGCAGACGATGACTGCGTCGGGCGCCTGTTCCGTTACTATGGACAATTTCAGGAGTTTGCCGAAGGACCTCGTCGCAAAGGCAGACCAACTTTGTCGTGAGCTTCTATACCATCTTCCACCGATCGAAGACCTGGAACATGTCCAGGATGACTTTGCGAAGACTGATGCAGGGTTTTCCTTTCTTCATCACCCAGCGAATAAGCTGTCAAAGGAGTACCTCAACCTATGTAATCGAGCTTGCGCAGGGACCGAGGCAAGGCTGGCGTCTAACGGGAAATGGCGCTATGCACTTGTATAGCGCTACATGACGAAGGAGAGACACTTTCTTGAGCATCTTGCTGTGCTCATGCATATCACTGGCGGCGGTCAGCCCAGGAGCTCCGACATCCTCCACCTCCGGTACGAGAATACAGGCGCCCTAGAGCGCAGGATCTATGTGCATGAAGGATCATTGGTCTATCTGACACGGAGCCACAAAGCCAAACGGTCAACAAACCTGGAGTTCTACGTTACGAGATTTCTTCCCCAAGCGGTTGGGCAACTCCTCTTTCGATACTTGGTTTACATTCGGCCATTTGTAGACATGCTATCCCGCGAAGTCTCTACTACAGTCCGGTGCCCGTGCTCCACCTATCTTTTCGGGCGAGGGCCGGAGTCAACAGCCGAACCTTGGCCTTCATCACGGCTGTCGAGGCTCATCAAAAAAACGTCAGCTCGGGTCTGGGGGAACGAAGGCGTCTCGACGCGACTTCTACGGCAGCTCTGATAAACACGTCCGTCAGGTGGGCCGGCCGTTTAATCTGTACGACGATCGTGGCCCAGAGGCTGACAGAAACGTGGTCTTCGCCTGGCAGACCGGACACCGCCCACTTCAGCGCGCTAGGACGTACGAGCTGGACGGGGCCTATCCCGCGAGACTACACCCTGCCTTGATCGAGCGTTACCGATGGGCTTCTTCCTGCTGGCACTCCTTCCTCGATTTGGTACCACGAGAGCCATTCGAGGCGCTCAAAACCGGTACACGTAGAAGAGCTGATCATCTCCCAGCGTCAGAAACGCCAAAGAAGAGGGCGAGACTTAGCCATTCCCCCACAGAGAAGGCGACTTCAGGACCTGGTCGAGACCAGATAATGGAGGCTACTCGCGTATTGCGACAGGCTCTTGACCATCGTGACGTATCTTCTCAGGCACCACTGAGTCAGATGCTCCTCAAAGGATTGGTCGGCGCCCAACCGCGCCAGCCAGCCGCTCTGCAGATTACCCCTGCCGCAGCAGTAGACTCAGGTACCTCATCTACTAAGCCGGGGCTCCGACGTTTGGCACGGGTCCGGAGACAATCTAAAGCACGACTTTGGCATGATTTGGATACGACAATCTATGCAATCGGAGTCTCGATAGATGACGAAGCCAAATCATACAGCTCCGATCGTTGCTCTGAAGCTTTCCGAAAAGACGACCATGTGGCCTGTCGGTACTCATTTCAGCCAGGCCTCGAAAGCTTCGCAGTCTCTTCTCTGCTATGGGCCACTGTCTGATTCTGTGACACTGGCAGGTATTGTGGCTGGAGGAACTCCGGTCTTTCGAATTGGTAGATGTTCTGCCAACCCTTCCTGGAGAGCCGCGCGACTAGGCGTTGCCGGCGATCGATCTTTTGCAGACGGACTGCAGCCCGTACTCTGGCGTCCTCGCTCTGTGACTGAGAGCGTCTGTGCCGCGAGTTATAGCACGCAGCAATGAGCATATGAAGTATGGTAAAAATGGCTTGTATTATCCATCAAGAAATAGACAAAAGACAATGTATATACAAGAGATATGTGATGCTTTCCCGTGATTAGGCACGTGACGGGTAGATCGCAGAGTGCTGAGTATTTCCCTTTTGCGTGACAGTTTGGGTCGTGGTATGACGACTACGAATGGCCTCGCGGACAGCCTCCGGGTGTAAATTGGGCTGGCCGTCTGCCCAGCCCGCGATGTCATCTCCCCGATTTCCGTTCCTGACCCCGGACTCCTAAAAGTAGTGATACAAGTTAAGGTCATCCGCGACCCAGGCTCGTTCTGTAGGGAAGAGTTCTGTCATGCGGTTGTAAGGGCCGCGCGGTTATCTACACACGTTGACGATAGCGGCTGTTTTACCGACCACCAGCCATAGTAAGTCTCTTGTATGATTGAGTCTCTGCTGCCCCCTATTCCTTGATGCGTGGGTTGATATTCTTGGTCTAGTCCCTTCGCTGTCCCATAAGTCGACTAAGACAAAAGCGGCAAGCCTCAAGGGCGTGTTGAGTTGCATTTGACTATCTTTCCAGCCCGTCCGAATTTCACATCGGGGACCAGACCCATCTTAGTCTTCCAGCAGAGCTGGGGAAATCTTTCTGACGTTGCCCTGTGCCACGCGTAGCATCCGGGGGGCCACCGTTCTCGGTCCATATCTTGGCTTCTGTGCTAACCGACGGTTTCTGTCTGTCTTCGGCTTCGTCTACCACGTCTCATCCATGCTACTGTTATTAGTGCTTCCCTCGCCGAGGCAAACGACCCAGCTTCAGAGGGCGTTCTCGTGCGCGCACGCTTGGCGCCGAGCTGTTGGTTCTGGCTGGTAGAGGTAGGGACGTCTGCCGGCACCTAGCCACTGTCGGATCGAGGAGATTTGTGCAGAGTATCAGATACCTTCTGGCCGGCCTAGACGATGTCGTTCCCGGCCGAGGGCCTCGCTACGCAGTCCGTGTGGCTGACTCGGAAGGGGTTGCAGCAGCTGATACACTGGGGTCTGGCCACGCGGGTCTTCCATCTAGTGCGAGTCGGACGAATTGCCGTGGAGCGATCATCGTCTGCAGGAACAGTTGGAGTGATGGCCTTGACTGCCGGAGTTGTGTCGGATGAAATTCCTTCGTTTATCAATGGGTAGTGGTTTGCCTCTTTGATTGGAGAGCCCGAATGGCGGAACGTCTATTGTGAACAATCTCAACCAAGACTTTGCCTTAGTGACTGAGTAGGGCCAAGGCAGGAGGGTTGAGCAAAGATAGGCTTCTGTCCTGTCCCTGAGCGGAAACCTCATCTTCAACGAGCGTGGCTGGATCTAGGATGTCCCCGGGATGCTATAGCTTTGCCAGGCATCGCGGCACAACACAGGTGGACCACTTGGTAAGCGTCTTGACTCAGTGGACGCCAAGGCATTCCGCTAGCTTTGCCTTACTTGTCGACAGATTCGACAATGGTCAGGGACATCTTTTCGTGCCTCGTAGTGTTTCGTTTCTTCAGCTGAAATGTACAACCCATTAGTGATTGACAGGGCTTAAGAGAGCTAAATGTATAATTGGGACCTCAGCCCACCCCTACATCTCTTATCTGGTTCAAGCAACACACCTCTAAATTACACTACCCATACCTTCGTTCATCATCACCTACAAGGGTCGGAGCTGCGCTGAAGATGTTACAAGCCCCTTTATCGAGAGAGAGCTGTCCTTGGTGGCGCCAGGCTGGCCTCCCTTCAGACAGGGCCAGGTTGCTGACGGGATCGGGCGGGGAGAGGTGAAGATTCTTCGGCTATTGGAGTTTTTATTATCCAATACTGAAGGACTGGATCTATATGGAATAGGCCCTGGCACTGTCATTTACTGTCTTGCCGCGTTAAATCATTTGACGAACGCATTTTGGCTGAGAAAAACCCGCCCCTCTGACCAAAGGTGCTCATACACGAAACGTATTAATGGCCCTGTAGTGGAGTATCACCTGCGTCACAGAGGGTCACCCGGATGTGCAATATTACCAAGCAACCTAGTTCTACAATGTCCATGCGACGATTCTTGCAGAGGCATGGAGAAGCTAGGAGCTCGCTGTGCAGCGGAGTTGAAGGCAGCCATAGGTTGTCCCTATCTACCCTACTTATCTACACCATTCAACAATCACATGACCCGAGCAAGAATAAGTAGTGCCTATATTGGCTGGGCGCGTGAGCTACGCCGCTGCTGGATAGGAATGGCAGAGTCTCAGGCCATTTCTTCATTGTTCCCAAGAAGCAAAAGACGCGGGATCAGTCTTCTTCATCGAAACCACGAGTGGTGGCGAGACTAGCCCACAGTTCGCGAACAATTGTCGCCTCCCATCATACACTAGAACCCACCGGCACCTTGTGAACACATACCACAAATCGTATTCCAGGGAAGATCAAATGGGTTTCCGTTTTCGAATCGAACAGCATTACCCCCACTGCTCAATCTTTGACTTCGGCAGCTTCCACATCGTCCCCACGACTGCCTGCGAAGAAGGCCCCGACCCTGACCAGAGGAGAACCATCCCTCAAGCAGTGTTCGTTGATCGTATCGCGTCGGTAAGAAGTTGTTCGCCAGCAGACGGCGAATGGCGATTATGGTATGCGTTAGATCATTGTGGTCGCCTCTGGGGCCACGACGGTGTGATGGAAGCTTGCCCACAATGTGAGGATACTTGCATGTTGTGTTAGCTACGAAGGATTACAGTAACTCTCGTAGATGTGTTTCTGGTCGTGACTGCCCTTCGGAGGAGTTGCGTAGAGGTGCCTCCGGACACCCGTTAACTATACGTCGGCCTTACATATCGGCTACCAAACCCTCCACACGACTATGTACGCTCAGGATCTGGCCTTGCAACGGTCGTACTGACGACGCAACCACCCGTGCGAAACACGAGCCCATGATCGAGTGAGTCTCCATATCCCATCGCGTGTCGTCTGAGACTACATCGCCGAGAATGCCGTCGATTCTCATCCCTCGCCGGTTGAGAAATGTCGCATATTCGCTCGCTCAGCTTTCTCCAGCACCTTTGATGTAACTTCGCGACGGCTCAGACCCTGGAACATCGGGCAGTACACGACGTCATTGTGCTTGACACGCTTTACACCTTCAAGTAGCGATCTAGCCTCCGTTCCATAACACACTTTCTTTGACGCGTTTATGCATCCATATATGATCCGCGAAGGATGGCCTCGGAGCGTGCCGACCTTGACGTATTGATTCTGGGCGCTTTTGTCGACCGGCTTCCTACGCGTCGGTGCAAGTTGGCGGCGCTTGATGGGCACGGCAGAGATCGTGTTGTTGAGGGATTTGCATATCGTCATCGCTCGTCGTACGTCGTGCCTTCTATATGATGGTCGTTGGTAAAGGTAGACGGTAGAGTGAGGGGTTCTGGCGAAGACGAATCTACTGCGGTAAGCAGGCAGCTCGGGTCGAGGGCGGGCCGACCGGAGCTACCACAAAGTCGTGGTCTACTATGGTGGCTTAGGTAAGTTTAGCCTCTCAACGAATGGGTAGGTAACCAAGTGGGTGATAAGATAGATCTCCACTCAAGACAATTGACAACCGCTTTCTACTGCTATCAGTAATAGACACAGCTAGTAAGATGTAAGAAAAAGATGACCAAAGAGCGAGCGCACATTTTGTCACGTCTAAGGGACAGATTTGAAGTTGAAACGGGAAGTCGCTGTGATGGGAGGGGGGGTCACAAGCACTTGACATGCACAAGAGTGATGCTACTGTCTCCGTGGGCATGGCACGTGCACCGCTGGAAAACACCTGGGGAGGTTCAACTTTGCCGGGCCTGACATCGTGGGGCTGCTCGTGATCCGTGGAAGCGCAGGGAGCCTGTGGCGCAGTGCTTGTACCTCGTGCTTTTGGACTCCCTGCTCTGCCTGCCTGAGCGACTGACTCGCAGCTTAGTACTTTGTTGTACTAGGGTATGGACGCGTTACTCAATGGAGACCAACCACAGGCAAGATAACGCGCCCACGCCGCGCATTGGCCTTGAACATTTGCCAAGGCTGCTATGCCCACGCCCCTGCATGAACCACATCACCTAGGTGCATGAACTTGGTATCTCTATTGTGAATGTACAAATGCAGGGCTAAGCCCCCGTAGGACGGTGGAGTCCTGCGGACTTAAATGCGCGTTATGGAGTCCATACCGGAGCATGCTCGGGAAGGTACCACGTGGTAGAGAGAGGTAGAGAGAGGTAGAGAGAGGGGGTGGTCGGACTTTTGGTGTACTCCATGGCGAAAGTCGTCCGTACGCGCATGCGCGGGGCCTTGGGGTCGGGCGGGCAGACACGAACCGGCGAGGCTGGCGCTCATGCTCCTCTCTGTCCCGTCCCGACGGCGGGCGTGAACCGTCTCCGGCGTCCCCCGAGCGGGCGGGACGTGGCATCGGTCCGCAAGAGCATGGAACGGCAACGACTCACTCGGGGGCAGAGGAGGAAGCAGTCGTGGTCACGGCGTACCGTGACCGGGTAGACGAAGTATCCAGCTCCGTTGCTATCCACACCATGACTGATCGCCTTCGCTCCCAAGCAGTTATGCCGACTTGAGAACAGCAGCCGTCTGTCCCGTAGAGTCCGAGGTACGAACGCACGACGCGGTGGACGCCGAGCTCGACGGCCAGCTCGACGGCCAGCTCCCCGGTCGCCGGCCGCCGGCCGCCGGTGGGGCGCAGAAGCCTGCTGTTGGTGTCTGCGTCGCCGGGTGTTCCCTGTGGTTGGCGCGATGTTCAGGACGAGAACTGGCCCGGGCCGGGAGGTTGGGCCCCGTCCAAGATACAACAGGTCCTCGACGTTGTTACGACCGCGCGCGACGCGCAACCTCACCTCTCTGTCTCGTTCTATGATTCGTTTGTTCTATGCCAAACGCCCGTGTTGAAACACGTGAGGGAAAGCAGATGTGCGTTTGCGATTACGTAGGAGGAGGCGGTAGCAGGACCGGCGCGGTCAGACTGATCGGCCTATGATGTCTTTGCCTCCATACCCAGACTTCCCGAACCGCCCACGCTCTATAGCGACCGTTCACTGCTATCGACGCTGTCGGAGTACCAAGACCTCTCTGCGATGGGTTGCTTAGAAGGCTGGTATGACCAAATTTCGAGCACCATCCCGTCACCATCTCGTCCGGATATTGTCGGTCGGGTCGTCTGTACGAGTGACACCACCTGTGCATCCAGCAGGGACCGAAGCTGGACACGCCAGCGGGGGACCTAGGTCTGCCGATGTATCCCGCGTCTCGTCTGGCCCATTTGCTCGGCCGGTGGTCTTTCCATACGACCAGCACGACGACTGAAGGCGCCTTTCGTCAGCACAGGCTTCAGAAGTAGGGGACGCACTTTGGCGGCAGATAGGTCCCCACCACCGAGGGGGACATAGCGACATGCCGTCCACCCGTGTATCTTGCCTCGAGTGAGGGCAGTCTCCTATTGCATTGACGTCAAGTGAGTGACGCCATTCGATGAGAGGTCTACCTTGCTGCATGACAGTATTTCCATCCTAGCTAGTACGTGGAGACGTACGCAGACGATCATTGGATCGGAGGGGATTACGTTGATCGTGGGTTGACTACACGTCGTGCAGCATATGACTCAAACTGAAAACAGGTCACCTCATCGCCCGATACCTTGGTCATGTCGCCGATACTCCGGCGTAGTCGTGGGCATATCCGCCAATGCAGCGGCCGCTTGGCGCCGCTTCCAGAACTGCACTCGGTATTTGAAGGGCTCGTCCGGCTGGCTTTTGACCCGGGACCATATGGAAACTGAAGCAGTGTACTCTTTGGTGCTACTTTTTGACGTTGTTGTATGGTTATTCGCGTCCCGTTCGTACGCCTTCATGCATTTCTTGGAAGAAGCAATTGTCCTCGACAGGCGTCTAGTACAACGCCTCGGTAGCTCGAAGCTACGATGCATCAGCCGGCGCATCGAAACTCTTCTGTTGAGAGACGCCGCAGATATCAACGGATTCAACCCGCCAAGAGCGCTACGATGTAGCATCGCGTTCTTCATCGCGGCCGAGAATGTGCTCGTGACCGTGATTCCTTGGAGCGATGAAGCCATATCGGCGCGGTCCATGGCGTCCCAAGCTGGTCGGCTGTGCTTCATGAACATGCTGCCACTCTGTTTGCTTGTCATCCCGGGCAACGGTTTCCTCCCGAGAGTCATCAGGCAGTGTCGGGAGCAGTGGCTGTGGGCTCATTCGTTCTTCGGCTGGCTGATCACTTGTCAGGGCGTCATACACGTCATAGCATCGCTCTGTTTGCTTCCAAGTAAGCCAGGTACACGGCAGCCACTCGACAGTCCAGGTCACGACGTCGCATCACTAACGCACATGCAGGTCCGGCCACGAGTTCATGGACAACGGGATCGACGGTAGGAAACACGATTGAAGCCACAGGACCAAGCTGACAGACGCGTATGGTAGGCTGGAGTACTTCTCGTGACCGTGGCGCTCTCATCGAAGTTTCGACGAGCGAGTGCCTCCTCCTCCTCCTCCTCCACCCCGATCTGCCGTTGTCTCCGTCCCCGTGCATCGGCCGCGGCCCTTTCTTGGCTCGGCACGCATTGGGTACTGGCCTCTGTTCTCTCCCTCCTGGCCACAGTCCACGTCGTTCTGTACTTGCCCTGGCCCGTCGTTCTCGCGGTATCTATATAGAGTAAAAATACGCACTTTTTATACCGCTCTGTACGTCAGTAGTAGCTATATGTTACGAACATGCATGACTACGTAAGAGAGACAGTAACTGCAATCTACATAGTGATCATCACGTGCTATATTACGTGTATATTACTTACATCCTGTACATAGAACTTTCTGTTTGTCTACTTTTATTTTGACTCCATATGCCTGTTCCGGCGTGCTATAATTCGTGACCCTAGAACTAAGAGACCCGCCCCGCAGGCTCTCAGCGGCTACTGCACACCTTATTTATCATGTATGCGTTGGCTAGAGAGCACAGGAGTCACTTCACGCATCGGAAGGCTTATTGAATAAGTTACGTGTAGACAAGTATGTGATTATACGATAGAACGATCATAATGATCACCCTAAGTGAGCGATCACCGGTAGTAACCCAGTGATTACTAATGAATAGAGTAAATAGATGACGAAGAATATACTTAGAAGAAGGACTTGTATATAGGTATTATGATGTTACGGCCAGCTAGTCGCAGTGAGGTAAGTTTGCAGAAGTTCAGGCCGCGAGGACTGAATAACAGTAATAAGGGTCGTTGGATAACTTCCGGGAAGTTATGTCTGTAAGTCGTAAGGTGAAGCTTCGGTGATCAATGGTAGTTTTGTCAAATGGGTTCTCAGTGAAGATAGCTGAAAGCGATCGTGAGATCTGATACGAAGTTAATAGCTGAGGAAGCTATGGAAAGTCTGTCCTTGAGCCCAGCTCAAGTCCATACTATATACAAGTCCCGATCCTGAACATGTCCTTTGTCCTACGCTGTTCACCAAGCATGTTGGTGATCAGGATGTGGATCCCAATGATCACTCACCTCGAGTGATCGCAGTGATCACCTTATCGCGTGATCACTCTTCTTATCATCACGTGACTTGTACCATAGTTCTTCCGTTCCGTTGGTGACACTGAGTTCCCGACCGTGGTACATATATGGTATGCCATAGCCGCTGCGAGCCTACGGGGCAGGCCCTAGTCTTAGTTATGCATGTTGGGTCGTAACATTTTAATTTAATTCGTATATATATATTTAATACCTTATTACTTTTTAAACTTTAAACCCAGTTTTTTTATTAACTACTATTGATACTTTTACTATTAAACTATCTACCTACTTAAATATACGTTATTAAAATGCTAAAGTATTAAGTATCTATTAATCCATAAGCTTTTTTAATAACTAAAAGATATGTTTTATAAAAATTATATTGAATAACCCTAATATATAAAGAAACTATTTTAATAAATACCATGTTAGTAATATTAATTTATGAAAAGTGAATAAATTGTAAAGGTGCCGGCAGGCAGGCACGAAGCCCCTGACCGAGGAGCTTACTTAGCGTACGTGTGGTGCACGTCTGGCACGTAGTGCCAGAAGTGACTGATCTTTTGGGTCCATTGGCAGGAGCGCAGCACACCACCTGCCCCCTTACATAAATATACTACAATGAATACTACCCTTATACTTACCTTACTAATATAATAAAATAATACAAACAAATTCAAATTTAATAATAGAATTAAAAGCTTACAAAGAGTATAGGCGAGTATACCAAATAAGAATATCAGACAGGGGGTATTAATAAATAAAATAAAGGGAGAAAATGTAGAATATTATTTAATTAGTTAAAAAGTAATTGATATATTACGGCGGGGTTATTGATATTTTGAGTTTAGTTAGTATTAATAATTATAGCCAGTTATAATTAGTTTTAAATTCTATTATCTAGTGATATATAATACTTATTTTAATGAACTTACCTATTAATGAAAGTAAAATAGCCCTTAGTGAGGCGGGCTATATCCTAAATGATAGTAAATACCTATATTATTTTGATGAACTAATTTCCTTTCTAAATCTTTTCCTTTCCGTGGTTGTGAACTTTGCAGGAGGGAAAGTTAAAAAGCTGGAAGGAAATCAACAAAATAGTCTATCGAGACAGTGAGAGTATCCACTGATGCTATGTTATCATACCGTGTAAAAGATGTCGAGAATCGCCCGAGCAGCCAGCAAAGGCAAAAATGAAAATCAAATACTATACTAGAAGTACTAAAAATTACGTAAGTAATAAGAAAAGTAGAACATTGAAATAAATGGTATTAAATACATAACGCTATTTCTTTCTAGCTTATTTATTTAATAGTATTTATAGCTATTTTAAAGAATAAGAATTTATAATAATAATATTAGAAATCCCCTCTTAAGTATTATAAAAAATGACAGTAAACTTATTTACATTTTATATATATTGACTTTAACTTGTTTGTCATTAGCTTCGTATTCACGTGTCTATAATTGACACTCATAGTACAAAGATAAGCAATGACTAACCTTAAATTTCATTTCTATAATAAGATATTTAATTTTAAAATTATAATATTCAGCAATCTTTTTTAATAAAAAGAAATCTATAAATATAGCTTTAAATAGTTAAACTTGGGAAGAAAAAGCTTAAGATAATTAGAAAAAATGAAAATAATGACATTATTATTGAGTTGTTAGTATGATAAAAGAGCATTGATAGGATTCACATTAAAACAAAAATTCGATTTTTAATAAGCAGAACTGTATATAATAGTCTTTTGTAAAGCCTAATAGGCGCAAAAAAAATCAACTTTAAGGGGATTAAGCTTTTTAAAGAAATTATATATTATAATATAGTTTTTTCATTTTAAAGTGTATATATTATACTCTAAATACGTACTTAGTATCCTATAGTAATTTTGATATAAAGACTGCTATACGTTTGAAGATAAATGAGCTATTATTACTTATTGATAACGAGATAAGCAGTGTATTCATATAACAGTACTAGCTGAAGAAATCAATTGTAAAGGTCAACTGTAAAAATTGAGGGTGGTCCTTGATGATAGAGCTCTAAATTTTAACCGTAATATAAAGGTTTTAGAAAAAAGGCTCAAAGGGCTAACTAACATCTAGCTATTCTCAAAAAGCTCGTTAAGATTTCTTTTTATTCTCATTACTTCTTATATTATTTATAATGATAGTATTGAATACGTATAATAAGGCTAGCGCCCGCCCTATAAGACTTATAATCGCTGTTATACTGTAGACATATAGAAATACGGATTTAGAATGACTCGTTTTAAAATTAAAAAAACTTTAAATAAATTATATAACTACGATTATATGATAAAATAAAGATCGGACGCTTATAGATATGTCAGATTAAAATCGTAAATGAACAAAGTAAATAGACGTTTAAGTAAATAATCGGATAGTAATAAATTAAAATGTTGAAAAAAATATTTTTCAAAGCGGGACTTATATATTAAATAAACTTAAGCCGGTCTTGAGGATCAATATTCAAGATTCTTTTATAATACACTGAATATTAAGCTTTATAATCATCCTCAAATATGTTTATTTAAATCCCCTTTTAATTGCTTAATTTATTTCATAATTTATAAATACAGTTCTCAGAAAGCTATCTATAACTATAGATATTATTTACTTAATACTAGTTATAGCTTTAATTTCTATTAATATACTCATTATAACTAATGCATTATGCATAATAACTTGATTATTTCTATTTAATGAGTTAAGTTTATACGATGATTAAATAATATAGATATGTTAACTTCGAATAAAAATTCGAATAATGACAATGTAATAACTATAACTTATTAAGGTAATAAACTTTATTATTTGATAGTTATATAACTCTTGAAAATAAGAATGAATGACTTTATATTTGTTTTACAATGACATAAATTTTTTTTTAGGCTAAGTACCCCGAACTAGAACTTTATAATGAGTCCTTAAATATATTTTAAGAAATTTTTATTTAAATTAAAGCTTGGTTATATTATAATAAGATCTTTTTTCTTATCAAAATAATAAATTCTATTATATCGTTTCCTTTTTTTGACAATAAAACCCTTATTTAGTTAGATCCCTTTACCAAGGACTAATCTAATACTGAACGTAACGTCTAGAATAAGTATATTAAAGAGTTTGTAATAATTTCGACGATTTTATAAAAAGATTAAAAAAAAAAAACCTTTAATTATCTTTATAGTAAACGGATTATGAAAAAAGGCTCGAGAGCCTTATATTAAAAACTTAATTGATAAATGTATATTAGAATCTCGTTAAATTACTTTTAAATTCAATTGAAGTAATATAATATGAATTATAGCTTTTTTATTAAAGCTTTAGAGGAAATGAAGGACGATTTTCTATATTAGGACTATCTAGAACAGCTTCATAAGTATATTAACATAACCACTAGAATTAAGAATTTACCATATGAATAACGCTTTAAATACAAAAAATAGAATATATAAAACTAACTGCCCTAAATTCAATACTAGGCGTAAACATAGACTAATAATCATTATTAGTGAGTATTGTAATAAACATTTAGGCCTTGGTATTAAAAACAGAATACTTTATCTGGGAAAAGGGTTTAAGCATTATAATTACAATAAACCCGGACATATAACTAAAGATTATTAACAGCTTACATATATTTTCAAAATAAACTAATATCAAATATAAGTAAATGACTATCTCATACATAATTTATACAAATATAACATTGCTATAGTACTTATTAAAATTATAATTATAATAATGATAAAAAAAGATATCTTAATGAGATTTATATATAATAAGATCCAAAAACGGGAATCAAACATTTATTTATGGGGTTTAAAAGTAATCTTAAGAACCT